AGACAATGTATTTATCAGACGGTTGTAATGGCATTGGTAGAGACAATGTATTTATCAGACTGTTGTAATGGCATTGGTAGAGACAATGTATTTATCAGTCTGTTGTAATGGCATTGGTAGAGACAATGTATTTATCAGACTGTTGTAATGGCACTGGTAGAGACAATGTATTTATCAGACTGTTGTAATGGCATTGGTAGAGACAATGTATTTATCAGACTGTTGTAATGGCATTGGTAGCTACAATGTATTTATCAGACTGCTGTAATGGCATTGGTAGAGACAATGTATTTATCAGACTGTTGTAATGGCATTGGAAGAGACAATGTATTTATCAGTCTGTTGTAATGGCATTGGTAGAGACAATGTATTTATCAGACGGTTGTTGTAATGGCATTGGTAGAGACAATGTATTTATCAGTCTGTTGTAATGGCATTGGTAGAGACAATGTATTTATCAGACTGTTGTAATGGCATTGGTAGAGACAATGTATTTATCAGACGGTTGTAATGGCATTGGTAGAGACAATGTATTTATCAGACTGTTGTAATGGCATTGGTAGAGACAATGTATTTATCAGACTGTTGTAATGGCATTGGTAGAGACAATGTATTTATCAGACTGCTGTAATGGCATTGACTGTTGTAATGCCATTGGTTAAGACCAAGCGTTAATCAGACGGTTGTAATGGCATTGGTAGAGACAATGTATTTATCAGACTGTTGTAATGGCATTGGTAGAGACAATGTATTTATCAGACTGTTGTAATGGCATTGGTAGAGACAATGTATTTATCAGACTGTTGTAATGGCATTGGAAGAGACAATGTATTTATCAGACTGTTGTAATGGCATTGGTAGAGACAATGTATTTATCAGACTGTTGTAATGGCATTGACTGTTGTAATGCCATTGGTTAAGACCAAGCGTTGATCAGACTGTTGTAATGTCATTGGTTAAGACCAAGCATGGATCTGACTGTTGTAATGTCATTGGTTAAGACAAAGCATGGATCAGACTGTTGTTATGGCATTGGTTGAGAAAAACGTGGATCAGACTGTTGTCAATAGTAACCTCGAGCACAATTTGTGTAGTGATATGCATAACTGGTTTGGTCGATTGTCACACCACATTTCAATCGCAATGCTCTCGCTGTTCGGGGTCACCAGAGCAAACTGAATTTCAAGTACAACTAAGGTATGTCAATTACATATCTAGGAACAAGAAGATACGCGTTTAGTTGCATTGAATTGTACGGTTACAATGCTGCTCGTACAGAGTCGGTGTAAAGAGGTGGGTGTATCCAGGGTAGATGGTGGGTGTATTTGGGTGCATGCATATGATAGACGGTATCACGGGTATCACCGAGGATCACGTGTTTCGGGCACCCCTTGGTTAAAACAGATAAGTGTGGTTGAAATGTATTTTGATGATTGGAGATTTGTTTACGGGTGGATACAGATATGGGTGGTTGGGTATCTGTTCTCGGTGGGTTTAGAGAAGGGTTGTATAAGTTATCATAAGGATAAGTATTTTGGATGGATACATATATGGCTGGTTTGGGGTACTGGGTGGAAATAGGTCAATTAGGTGTGTATTTCCGGTGGGCACACATACGGGTGGCTGGGCACACATACGGGTGGCTGGGAGGTATAGGGTTGTAACTGAATATGGAATCCGGGTGGATGCAGATATGGAATGCTGGGCGGTACCGCTTTGTAGCTGGGTGTGTATTCCCCGTGGATACACATACTGGTGGTAGGGGGTATAGGGTTGTAACTAGGTATGGAATCCGGGTGGATGCAGATATGGAATGCTGGGCGGTACCGCTTTGTAGCTGGGTGTGTATTCCCCGTGGATACATAAACTGGTGGTAGGGGGTATAGGGTTGTAACTAGGTATGGATTCCGGGTGGATGCAGATATGGAATGCGGGGTGGTACCGCTTTGTAGAGCTGGTGGTGTATTCCCCGTGGATACATAAACTGGTGGTAGGGGGTATAGGGTTGTAACTAGGTATGGAATCCGGGTGGATGCAGATATGGAATGCTGGGCGGTACCGCTTTGTAGCTGGGTGTGTATTCCCCGTGGATACATAAACTGGTGGTAGCGGGGTATAGGGTTGTAACTAGGTATGGATTCCGGGTGGATGCAGATATGGAATGCTGGGCGGTACCGCTTTGTAGCTTGGTGTGTATTCCCCGTGGATACATAAACTGGTGGTAGGGGGTATAGGGTTGTAACTAGGTATGGATTCCGGGTGGATGCAGATATGGAATGCGGGGTGGTACCGCTTTGTAGAGCTGGTGGTGTATTCCCCGTGGATACATAAACTGGTGGTAGGGGGTATAGGGTTGTAACTAGGTATGGAATCCGGGTGGATGCAGATATGGAATGCTGGGCGGTACCGCTTTGTAGCTGGGTGTGTATTCCCCGTGGATACATAAACTGGTGGTAGCGGGGTATAGGTTGTAACTAGGTATGGATTCCGGGTGGATGCAGATATGGAATGCTGGGCGGTACCGCTTTGTAGCTTCCCCGTGGATACATAAACTGGTGGTAGGGGGTATAGGGTTGTAACTAGGTATGGAATCCGGGTGAATGCAGATATGGAATGCTGGGTAGTACCGCTTTGTAGCTTGGTGTGTATTCCCCGTGGACACACATACTGGTGGTAGGGGGGTATAGGGTTGTAACTAGGTATGGATTCCGGGTGGATGCAGATATGGAATGCTGGGGGGTACCGCTTTGTAGCTTGGTGTGTATTCCCCGTGGACACACATACTGGTGGTAGGGGGGTATAGGGTTGTAACTAGGTATGGATTCCGGGTGGATGCAGATATGGAATGCTGGGGGGTACCGCTTTGTAGCTTGGTGTGTATTCCCCGTGGACACACATACTGGTGGTAGCGGGGTATAGGCTAATTCTCCACAATTCTTAGCCAATGTGTTGGTTTGTTTAGGCTGTTGCTCTGCTGCAATGATAACAAGTCGATCAAAAAGCACCTGTAACTATGCCCTTTGCCATATGCCATATTCACTTAATCAACCTGCCACACCCTAAACTCCAACCCAGCGTCCATGACAACACAAACGAGCTCACGTGGTCACATCTGTACAAGCTGCATATAAAATATAACTCGACAATTGCCAACACTGAACTTTAAAAATATTAATTCATGTACTCTCTCCAATATCCACCTATCAAAACGTGTTATGGCCGACTACCTATGTGTATTATTTGAAAAGGGTAGTCAAATATCAGCTTTTTGACGGGTGACAACAAGCTCTCTCTATAGCTCGTCGTGACAACAAGTGTAAGCTATGTATGTGTAAGACCTCATGAAGGTTACACCTGAAATAGACTCCTATAGTTTACAGAGGCGCTCGTGGAGGGCTCGTTGTTTCTTTTCATTGAAATAGTTTAATGTCTACATTGATATTTTTGTGCATCACGAGCAAAATCTACTGTATAAGTATTGGATCACTGTAAACACAATTAACAAAAGCTGACCATACATACCCGGGTATATGTTGAGGCTTAACATATTATATCATACACATTATGTCATTAGTTAAGGCTTACGTATACACCATGTCATGAATTAAGGCTTACCACATGCATCGTGTCATTAGTTAAGTCTAGCCGTATACATCATGTCATGAGCTAAGGCTCACCGTATACACCATGACATGAGTTAAGTCTCACCGTATACACCATGTCATGAGTTAAGGCTCACCGTATACACCATGTCATGAGTTAAGTCTCACCATATACACCATGTCATGAGTTAAGGCTCACCGTATACACCATGTCATGAGTTAAGACTCACCGTATACACCATGTCATGAATTAAGGCTTACCATATACATCATGTCATAAGTTAAGGCTAGCCATATACGTCATGTCATGAACTAAGGCTCACCGTATACACCATGTCATGAGTTAAGTCTTACCATATACATCATGTCATGAGTTAAGGCTCACCGTATACAGCATGTCGTGAGTTAAGGCTCACCGTATACATCATGTCATAAGTTAAGGCTCACCATATACATCATGTCATAAGTTAAGGCTCACCATATACATCATGTCATAAGTTAAGGCTCACCATATACATCATGTCATAAGTTAAGGCTCACCATATACATCATGTCATAAGTTAAGGCTCACCATATACATCATGTTAAGGCACCATATACATCATGTTATGAGTCTCACCATATACATCATGTCATAAGTTAGGGCTCACCATATACATCATGTCATGAGTTAAGGCTCACCATATACATCATGTCATAAGTTAAGGCTCACCATATACATCATGTCATAAGTTAAGGCTCACCATATACACCATGTCATAAGTTAGGGCTCACCATATACATCATGTCATGAATTACGGCACTGCGTATACACTTTAACATTAGTCATGGCTCATCAAGTTCACTATTTCATGAACATTACGTTGAGAGCGTATCATCATGACATTAACCCTTGCAGTGGTATCATACAATCTCAACACAGTACAAATTAAGAACTAGCTTAACATACCTTTAAACATACTCACAAATTTGTACGCCTTTACAAGTAGAATGATAATTGACAAAGAGACCGGAACATTACAGACGTCCGTCCAAGCGTGTGTGCATATCTGTGTGCGTGATAGAGCTAAGGTGTATACACGAACGTAGGGGCCGGAATAAAATCATAAATATGCACTCTAAAATTTTAACAAATGTAGTTTTCATTAAACACATATCCTGTTCATCTAAATCGATGCTGACTTTTCGCTTGACTGAAAATAAGACCAGTCTAACGTTGAAGGTTAAGATTATAGAGGCAGAAAAAAAAACAGAATAAAATGAATATCGGATAAACGTATGACAATGCACCTTAGTGTCTGCATGAACAGATCTTTTTCATAAGAAAGCACCCTGGGTTTTCTTTTCGCGACATGTACTGGTTGGATGAGCATAATCATACACCATGACAGTAATAGCTGACATTAACTGTGTCCTGGGTAACAGTGAACTGCCATATGGTTAAAACAAGCTGTCGCATTGGCAGCAGTGGTGCCTAGATTCGTAGTCAGCTGGAACAATAGGCTGTCGGGATAGAAGTGTCCACACCCAGCACTCTAGACCGACGGGGAGAGGATATCGGGCGAGTTTGACAGTCCCTTCAAGACAGGATTAAGTTGAGGATAGAGAGACCCGGATATTGAGACATCACTTATACGTCAGAGCGGACATAGTGTGTGGTCAACACGAACACAAGGATGGGGAACTTGTTTAGTCGCAGGTAAGGCTGAATTATCATGACCGTAAATATATTTGATGTTAAGTTTAACTTTAGTATTCAGTAAGGGTGGTTTAAATATATTTTTATATTATTTATTTATATTGGTTATTTTACAAAACTGAAACCTGGATAGGCGAACAAGTCAAGCTGCTTGTATGAACGCCGCTCCAGTATATTATTACAATAGCTGGATACATAAATGAAATAATTTAACAGCAAAAGAATAATACTGAAACATAATACAAAATATTGAGTTTTCAGTTAGGGTTGAGGTATATGTTCATATTCATGATGAATTTGCTGAGGTGGCGATTTGCTGGACAGCTTCTATTCATCTTTTAAGCAAAAGGAATATGTTTGTTTCGTGCCTTTATCTAATCATGACGACAGCGCGCATTGTGACAGGTTTGATCATAATTGCTGATGTTTGCTGTTATTAAACCCATGACAAAGTGTACACTCTGTGTAAGTCAATATCTATGTGTGATGGAGTTAATAAAACACACTTGGTAAACATATGGTGTATACATTATCTTGTAACGAAGTCCATAAATGTCGATGTGATAACTTCGCAAGCATTTCAATATAGAGTGATGAGGGGCTCTACGCGTGGCCTCGAGGCTAGGAAGGGGAACTGCGTTTCACAGTGCATACAAAACCCAGATTCATCCGATTATGGTTCGTGCTCTGTTGTCGTTTGATCTGTTTTATAATGAGTGTGTCATACAGGAGTTGGTTCCCCATCTGCTAACATAGATCTGACATGCTGTGATAAAAGGTGAAATGAAGTTCAAAGTAGTGATACTCACAGCCAGCTGACAGCTGTCTACACTGACTGTATTTATTTATTTATTCCTTCATTTATTCACCCCTTCATTCATTCGTTATTTATTTATTTATATATTTATTTATTATTCATTCATTCATTCATATTCATTCATTCATTCATTCATTCATTCATTCATTTATTTATTTGTTTGTTTGTTTGTTTGCTTGCCTGTTTTATTCCTTCGTCCATTCACTCCTTCATTCAGTCGTTATTATTTATTTATTTATTTATTATATCTATCTATTTATTTATTATTCATCCGTCCATCCATCCATCCATCTATCTTTCCATCTGTTTATTTCTTTATTCATTAATTCATTATTTCAGATATACGATACTGAAGTACGTTAAGAAATTTCTTTGAAAAAAACATTCAGTCAACAATAGTGTTAAAGGTCACTTCTATAAGTACATGTACGTTAATTATAGGTCAAGATCGCCGGTGCGGGCCATCATACTGCCAAATGGTCACAGGCCTCTCTGCCTGCTATGCCATACCTACTACAATACAAAACTATGCCAGGAAATTATTTATAGTTTACGGATATGACGCTGTTTCGGAAACAATGTAGCTGGGGGAATGTGACCGTGAACCGTTTGCTGTATATGCCTATACTTTGTCCGTGTGTAACATTATTGCCTTGTATTGTCAAGTCAAAGCAACCTTGCTCGGTGCTTTGCAAACTGAATGGTGTATTATAGCAAGATGCGAAAATATCGTAGTTCTTCGCTGCAGAAACAGATCGCCCCTTACTGACTTGGTTTAACTATGACTTCTATATCAACGCTGGCAGGTCAAATGGCCAGTCTTGTACAGCGTCGATCGTCTGGTGTTTATCTTGACCCCAGCAATCCTGGTTTGAACTGTGTCCGATGGGGTGTAACAAACAGACAGTATAAGTACAACAGATGTAGGTCTACTCCTACCTACGCGTTACGCTGTACGACTTTGACGTATTTCAGGAATGTTTATGCCCGTTTTAACACATTGCAGACAGACAGACAGACAGACAGACAGACAGACATATTTATTCAGTACTGTGGGCCTAACGGCCTATAATACAACTGAAACTTACAATATTTTACAATGCCACGTGATAGTTTCATATATAATGTTTAAACAGATGTTTAAAAAACAGAGCAACTGATTTAATAACATTAGAATCTTTGGAGTGTAATACATTTATCATGCTTTGTTCACATTGGGGCATGGCATTCAGCTGTGGCAAGTACTTTTTCCGAATTTCATTATATTTTGTACATTGCATAAAAACATGGTATTCATCTTCAATTGCAGCAACAAACAACAGAAACACAACGGGGATTGCATTTTCTAGAGTCATATAAATGAAGTATATTAAAGGTTATGGCTTACTAAAACCACATTCTGTGGTGTGAAATACGTACACACACCCTACATCCCCAACCCCCAAAAAAAACCAAACTTTTTTTTAAAATAATAAATAAATAAAAAATAATAATAATAAGAAGAAGAAGAAGGAAATAGAGAAAAAACTCCGTCTTCTTACTCCGTAACAAAGCCTGACATGTCAACTGCATTGCATGGTTTGATGTGACTATTTGTATTCATTGTGGAGATGTAGGTCAGATGAAATACAGTTTGTATCCTTACCACAGCTGTTGGCGATACACAAGGTCAATCGGTTTCATACTATTTGTGTTGACTGTACGCTTGGTAAATTACTCAGCGCAACGCTACATCCATAACCGATGAACTATTATTGCTTGTGTGTTGAGTAGTAACACCGCCACTCTGCTGAAACGCCAGTTTACAATTCAGCGTAATCAACTGATTGATTATGATGCTCATAGGTAGCCCAGTGAATAAAGCATCCGCGGTCCTGGTTCGATTCCACACATGCGTAGGGTAATACATACCGCGAAAGGAAAACCCAGGGTGTTTTCTCATTAAACGGATTTGTTCATTCAGACACTATGGGTGCGAGCTGTTTGTGTCCTCTGTGTGCTTCTTTTGCGATAAAAATCGATGAATTGATAAAATCATGATCACTCTTCGGCTCACTCACTCACTCACACTCACTCACTCTCACTCACTCACTCCACTCACTCTCACTCACTCACTAACTACTCACTCACTCACTGTACATCTTTTCCTTAGTCTAAGTCTTATACTTCGTGCGCTTATTGTCCTCTTCGCTGGCAGGTTTGTTTCAGTATCGGTTTCACTTTCAACTGCCTGGCGATCACGAGTTCATGAGTATATAATCAATATACACTTCCAGTGCATATCACGTGGTAGACATGGTATGATGTTGTGGAACTTGTAATTACAGTGATTCAGGGGACATCACCCAACCAACACTCACATCTGTCCATCCCATAGAGGACGAAGCTCCACCATCACCGTCACCACCACCAGCAACAGCAGCAGCAGCAGAAGAGGACTTCGCCATGTACAGACGACGCTACAGGGGCTACAGGCCAAGCGACCTATACAGTTCAAACAGGTACGGTGCACACTGTGGGATTTAATGGGTCATTTTAGTCATATTGCTGCAAGTCTGCTTAAGCTTATATTTTCTTCCGCATCAAGCCAGCATCACTATCACCACCGTCGTCATTATCATCATCATCACCATCTTTATCATCATCACCATCCTCCTCCTCCTCTTGCTCCTCCTCCTCCTCATCATCATCATCAGCATCAGCAGCAGCATCATCATCAGCAGCAGCAACATTACCGTCACCATCATGCCGCCTCCGTGGTGGATGGCTCGAATCCCCCTCACACTAAACTATGGTATGATATCTACCAGGGCCGGTGGGGTAGATTAAAGCGTTCGCTGGTCAGACCGAAGGCCCGTTTTTGATTTCCCACAGGGGTACATTGTGAAGCCCATTTCTGGTGTCCCCCGTTGTGATATTGCTAAAAGCGGCCTAAAACCCAACCCAGTCAGTCACTCACTATACAAGGACCTAGTTAGTATAGTGTTGCTGAAATAGCCCTGAAAGCGATGTACTACCTAAATTCGCCTTAGCTCATCATGATCGTTGTTCATATTGTTGTTGTGGATGTGGTTGATGTTGTTGTTGTTGTTGACTAAGGGTTATACGTTATGTCACCTACCACAGAAGCGGCTACTACAGATATTCCCGGCGATACCCATCGTACAGCTTCCCAAGATGGCGTCCACGGGCGTGGGAGAGAGACCGGAATTTCGTCACCGATCTGGACGACGACCGATCCAGAAACAGGGAGTTGAACAGAATACTCAGACCACGTACGTTACGTCTATATATTTATACATTTGACCCGTGAAGATCCGGGTTAGAATTGGCCGTCAGCAGTCCATGCTTGTCGTAAGAGGCGACTAACGGGATCGGGAGGTCAGGCTCTGTGACTTGGTTGACACATGTCATCGTATCCCATTTGCGTAAATCTATGCTCATGTTGTTGGTCACTCGATTGTCTGGTCCAAACTCGAGTATTTACAGACAGCGACACATAGCTGGAATATTGCTGAGTGCGACGTTAAACAACAAACCAAACATCCAACCAACCAACATACATTTGGCCACTAGAGTGGATTTGAAAGTATACATTGTTTTGTTATAGTTATATTTTAGAGACTATATGTACGTTATAATGACATGCGTTTATGTGAATAGTTTTTTATTCTTGTAAACAAAGGAGAGTGATGTATCAACTTCGCATGACGCAGCTGATCGAGTTGTGAGTTAGATAGCTTCGATTTAGGACAACTCTGCTCTGGAAGGAAAGACATGAAAAAGGTGTGATAGTGGTGGGGGTTGGGGGTTGTTGATATATTTAGAACTTGGATAGTGGGATTTCTATAACAGAACATGTTGATGGAGGGATTGTTGATTTATTTTGGTAAGAGATGATGCGATTGAGATAGAGAAGGAGTTCTGATATATGGGGTGAGAGAGTGAGTGAATTTAGTTTTACGCCGCACTCAGCAATATTCCAGCTATATGGTGGCGGTCTGTAAATAATCGAGTCTGGACCAGACAATCAAGTGATCAACAGCATGAACATCGATCTACGCAATTGGAAACCGATGACACGTGTCAACCAAGTCAGCAAACCTGACCACACGATCTCGTTAGTCGCCTCTTACGACAAGCATGGGTTACTGAAGATCAACATTCTAACCTGGATCTTCATGGGTATCTGATACATGGAGACGGGACACTAAGAAGTAGTATTGATATATGCATAGTCGGGACAGTGGGACTTTCTGAATAGATACAGGGCGTGTTAATATATACTGAGAAAAACAAATATAGGATCACAGGAAAATGCAAGCGTTCCTTAATTATTTTCCAGTTGTCATCACCACAGCGCTATTCATGAAGCTGGTCATGAAAACTGGAAAATATTAAAGGAACGCTTACATTTTCCTGTGATCCTTTATTTATTTCTCTCAGTATATATGCAGTCGAGACAGTGGTACTTTCTGAATAGATAGTGGGGTCGTTAACATATGCATAGTCGAGACTGTGGTACTTTCTGAATAGATAGTGGGGTTGTTAACATATGCATAGTCGGGACAGGCTTTCTGAATAGATAGTGGGGTTGTTAACATATGCATAGTCGGGACAGTGGTACTTTCTGAATAGATAGTGGGGTTGTTAATATATGCATAGTCGAGACTGTGGTACTTTCTGAATAGATAGTGGGGTTGTTAACATATGCATAGTCGGGACAGGCTTTCTGAATAGATAGTGGTGTCGTTAACATATGCATAGTCGGGACAGTGGTACTTTCTGAATAGATCGTGGGGTTGTTAACATATGCATAGTCGGGACAGTGGTACTTTCTGAATAGATAGTGGGTTGTTAACATATGCATACTCGGGACAGGCTACTTTCTGAATAGATAGTGGGGTCGTTAACATATGCATACATCGGGACAGTGGTACTTTCTGAATAGATAGTGGGGTTGTTAACATATGCATAGTCGAGACTGTGGTACTTTCTGAATAGATAGTGGGGTTGTTAACATATGCATAGTCGGGACAGGCTTTTCTGAATAGATAGTGGGGTTGTTAACATATGCATACTCGAATACAGTGGTACTTTCTGAATAGATAGTGGGGTTGTTAACATATGCATAGTCGAGACTGTGGTACTTTCTGAATAGATAGTGGTGTCGTTAACATATGCATACTCGGGACAGTGGTACTTTCTGAATAGATAGTGGGGTTGTTAACATATGCATAGTCGAGACAGTGGTACTTTCTGAATAGATAGTGGGGTTGTTAACATATGCATAGTCGGGACAGTGGTACTTTCTGAATAGATAGTGGGGTTGTTAACATATGCATAGTCCGGACAGTGGTACTTTCTGAATAGATAGTGGGGTTGTTAACATATGCATACTCGGGACAGGCTTTCTGAATAGATAGTGGGGTCGTTAACGTATGCATACATGGGACAGTGGTACTTTCTGAATAGATAGTGGGGTTGTTAACATTTGTATAGTCGAGACTGTGGTACTTTCTGAATAGATAGTGGGGTTGTTAACATATGCATAGTCGGGACAGGCTTTCTGAATAGATAGTGGGGTTGTTAACATATGCATACTCGTGAAAGTGGTACTTTCTGAATAGATAGTGGGGTTGTTAACATATGCATAGTCGAGACTGTGGTACTTTCTGAATAGATAGTGGGGTCGTTAACATATGCATAGTCGGGACAGTGGTACTTTCTGAATAGATAGTGGGGTTGTTAACATATGCATAGTCGAGACTGTGGTACTTTCTGAATAGATAGTGGGGTTGTTAACATATGCATAGTCGGGACAGTGGTACTTTCTGAATAGATAGTGGGGTTGTTAACATATGCATAGTCGAGACAGTGGTACTTTCTGAATAGATAGTGGGGTTGTTAACATATGCATAGTCGAGACAGTGGTACTTTCTGAATAGATAGTGGGGTTGTTAACATATGCATAGTCGGGACAGTGGTACTTTCTGAATAGATAGTGGGGGTTGTTAACATATGCATAGTCGAGACTGTGGTAGATTCTCTGAATAGATAGTGGGGTTGTTAACATATGCATAGTCGAGACAGTGGTACTTTCTGAATAGATAGTGGGGTTGTTAACATATGCATAGTCGGGACAGGCTTTCTGAATAGATAGTGGGGTTGTTAACGTATGCATACTCGGGACAGTGGTACTTTCTGAATAGATAGTGGGGTTGTTAACATATGCATAGTCGAGACTGTGGTACTTTCTGAATAGATAGTGGGGTTGTTAACATATGCATAGTCGGGACAGGCTTTCTGAATAGATAGTGGGGTTGTTAACATATGCATAGTCGGGACAGTGGTACTTTCTGAATAGATAGTGGGGTTGTTAACATATGCATAGTCGAGACTGTGGTACTTTCTGAATAGATAGTGGGGTCGTTAACATATGCATAGTCGGGACAGTGGTACTTTCTGAATAGATAGTGGGGTTGTTAACATATGCATAGTCGAGACAGTGGTACTTTCTGAATAGATAGTGGGGTTGTTAACATATGCATAGTCGGGACAGGCTTTCTGAATAGATAGTGGGGTTGTTAACATATGCATAGTTTGGACAGGCTTTCTGAATAGATAGTGGGGTCGTTTGCATATGCATAGTCGGGACTGTGGGACTTTCTGAATTGATAGTGGGGTTAACATATGCATAGTCGGGCCTGTGGTACTTTCTGAATAGATAGCAGGGTTGTTAATGTATGTAAAGTCGGGACAATCTTTCTGAATACAAAGAGGGTTGTTGATAAATTCAGTGTCGGGAAAGTGGGACTTTTTGAATAGATAATGGGGTGTTGATAACGCATAGTCTGGTTAGATGGTTTGATGAGATAGCAGAGCTTTTGGGCTTAGAAATGAAACAACAGGTTGCCAGGATAGTCCTGGCGATGCCTGTGGTAGGATTCTTAGACCAGTGGGAATTTAGAGCCAGCTATCAAAATATAGGAGATATTTGTATTCGGCATCGTTATAAAGCTTGGAATCTCTAGTTTACCAACACAACTATTGCCAGGCTTGAAAGTGTCACATTGAGGTAACCGCCAGCGTTGTACCGTCTGCAGGTGATGTGGTAGAAGCTAGCGAACCCGAGGTGCCAGTTGAAGAAGTTGCAACGAGGTTGCACGTCAAGAGCGTTGACTTACACATTGACGACAATGGGCGCGACCACAACACTGACATGTACTCCTGTACGTCCGCCCGGACTGGGAGAGATGGTGCCCGCAAACCGGCGGAGTTGGTTATCCGCAGGGGCCAAGAGTTTACCCTGACCATCAACTTTGACAGACCGTATGACGTAAAGAAGAACGACATAAGGCTTACCTTCAACCTCGGTAAGTAGATGTCAGTTCAAAGCAACCATATTGTTATTGGGCTGTGCCATATCCAGATTATCTTGTTTAAATGACTGATACCAGGGTTCAAGGATTCTGTATTGACGAGATTGTTCAGATTGAATAACATTATGTATTAATAATGAGTGAGTGAGTTTGGTTTACACTGCTTTAAGCAATATTCCAGAAATGAGCTTCACACATTGTACCCATGTGGGGAATCGAACCCGGGTCTTCAGCGTGACGAGCGGACGCTTTAACCATTAGGCTATCCACCGTCCCTTTCAAAGAGTGTCAAAATAATATGTGAGTCAATATGGTTTTACGCCAAAAATACTAGTATTCCAACAATATCACAGCACGGGGCAACAACAATGGTCTCACACCCTGTACTGATATCGGGAATCGAACCCGTCCTCAGCAAGTCGAGCAAAGGCTGTAACCATTGCCCCAGTGCAATTTGTCTTGAACACCAACCATATCTACCTGGCTGAGCTATTGATGACGAAGCATTATATTTTTCATAACGCACTCTATGTTTTTGTCCACGACAGGTACACATACTTTGGCGTTGGGGGATCTTGAAACAGAATAACCTTTTATTTAATCTATAGGCGATGATTACAAACCAAACAAGAGCACGAACGCGACGTTCAACGTGGATGAAACGGGCAGCAAGAAATATAAGCCCAGAAAGTGGGGAGCATCGTTGGTGTCGCAGAAGGAGAATTCCCTCACCCTGTCGGTCTTCGCACCAGCCTCCATTCCGATAGGAGAGTGGGAATTCAGCGTCAAAACTATCGTGGACGTCAAGGATGGAAAGGACCTTATCTGGCAGTACAACCACAATGAAGACATCAATATCATCTTCAACCCGTTTTGTAAAGGTAATTATAACATGTATCAGAGCTTTCTCTATTATAGAAGGAAGAGCAACATATTGTTTAACAACTGGATCGAGAGTATGCTTGATGTTGCTTCTCCTCCCACGACTGGGTGTACGAAGAGCGAGACTTTCTGGAAAGTTCTTTTCTCCTCCGCAGGGAAGCTAGTGAACGTTGGGCGAGAGCGTCTCGAGGACTGGTTGTATGTGTATGGAGAGTTCCAGTACTGTACCTTTATCCTTATCAGAGCTCTGGCTGCATGTGTAGCGAGAGTTCTGTAATGTACTTTTATCTTTATCAGAGGACTGGCTGCATGTGTAGCGAGAGCTCCTGTAATGTACTTTTATCCTAATCAGAGGACTGGCTGCATGTGTAGCGAGAGCTCCTGTAATGTACTTTTATCCTAATCAGAGGACTGGCTGCATGTGTAGCGAGACTTCCTGTAATGTACTTTTATCCTAATCAGAGGACTGGCCGCATGTGTAGCGAGAGCTCCTGTAATGTACTTTTATCCTAATCAGAGGACTGGCTGCATGTGTAGCGAGAGCTCCTGTAATGTACTTTTATCCTAATCAGAGGACTGGCTGCATGTGTAGCGAGAGTTTCTGTTATGTACTTTTATCCTCATCAGAGGACTGGGTGTATGTGTAGCGAGAGTTTTTGTTATGCAGTTTTTGCTTATCAGATGACTGTTGTATGTGAAGCGAGAATGTTTGTAATGCCATATTGTCGTTCCATGGGACTGGGTGTTTGTTCAGAGAGAGATTCTGTAATGTACTTTTATCCTAATCAGCGGACTTGGTGTATGTCCAGAGAGAATTTATGTTATTTTCTGTTGTCCTTCACAGAGGACTGGGTGTACGTGGAAGACACGAGCTGGCAACAGGAAGCGGTTTTGAATGACAAAGGGTCTCAGTATTTCGGCACCTACAATCGAATAGGCGCCAGGTCCTGGTTCTTCGGCCAGGTAAACAACGCCTCATCACCCAGCTCTAATTTAAAGGCGGTGTTGGGGTAGCCTAATAGTCAAAGCGTCCGCTCGTCACGCCGAAGACACGGGTTCGATTCCAAACATTGGTACAATGTGTGAAGCCTATTTCTGGTGTCCCCGTCGCGATGCTGCTAACAGCGGCGTAAAACCCGTCTACCTAAATAACGAAACAAAACCCTTTACATGTTAATGAAGATATTCGTAAAACAAACCCAATCAATCTTAAGATTTCGACTGTGATTATGGATCACTATCAAACAGTAATCATACGAGTTGCCTAAGATAAAGTGTTCAACCTGTGGTATCAGTCACAAATACATGCAAAGACAAGTCAACAGCATTTAAAAAAGGATGAAACAGGGTAGGCGTCTTTCTGCCGCATAAAAATTGGGGATATCGTACTTTTTTGGCCAAATAGAAATTCGGGGTACATATCTGTACTAAATAACCGTTATTCGAACTTCAGGAGAAATTGTAAACATAGCCAGGGTTGTGATTGAAGATGATTTTTTACAACATTTCTATACTTTCAACATTTACTTCGCAAATCAGCGGTTCTCGTTAAACTGAAACATCCAAATTGGTTTCTCCTTCGAGATTGGCATCTCTGCCACATTTTACTTTTACTACATCTGCATCTAGTGATAGACTGCAGCTACTTCTACAAGCAACATTTGACGTGACAGTCTAACACGACTTGTACATAATGGATAGTTTCATTGCAGTTCGAGGACGGCATCCTTGATGCAGCGTTCCATCTGGTGAGGAAAGGGTACGGATACCACTCCACACCCGACATGGGCAACGCAGCATCGGTATCCAGGATTATCTCCCAGCTGGTAAGTAACCCAGGGTGATGCAAGAGCATATACTCACATATACTATATAACACCGTAGGCATAGCGCATTAGTGGGACAGTATTTCTGAGAATATTGTTCCTCAACTGACTCGAAAAAGTCCAACATGAATAATTTTCATTGATCTTCGCCCAACTATTGAGACAATTCCTTTTTCGAAAATGATTAATTTGAATTTCGGGATATAATTTCGAATGGAGCACGGATGTGAAAAGCCCACTGGTGTGTCGTCTTAGCTTAAAAGTGCACTGAAGCAGACCAACAATGCCCACTCGTATACATACTTCAGCACCTCCCTCCTCCACTAACATTGGTAATTAATTGAAGCAGACCAACAATGCCCACTCGTATACATACTTCAGCACCTCTCTCCTGCACCAACATTGGTAATTGATTGAAGCAGACCAACAATGCCCACTCGTATACATACTTCAGCACCTCTCTCCTGCACTAACATTGGTAATTGATTGAAGCAGACCAACAATGCCCACTCGTATACATACTTCAGCACCTCTCTCTTGCACTAACATTGGTAATTAATGACCGATGATGTCTTCCACGTTTTACCTACACTCTTTGCTTGTTGATGCCGATTATTAGGTGAACGCCCCCGACGACGACGGCGTGTTGGTTGGCAACTGGAGCGGGAAATACGAGGGCGGGACGAAACCCACCCTTTGGAGTGGCAGCGTTAAGATACTTCGTCAGTACATGTCAACATCTAAACCTGTCAAGTACGGCCAGTGCTGGGTCTTTTCTGGAGTCGTTACTGCAGGTATGATTGTCCCAAAGCCGCCACAGAAGGTCAGTTGCAACCTGTGCCAAAGCAGGTACATATATATATATATATTGTCCGTCCCAAGGCTGCCACAGAAGTTAGATATTGTCTGAAGGCCCCCAGTGCAAGTAAAATTAATCAATTGTCTCAAGGCCACTAACACAGATATTAACTCATTGTCCCAAGGCCCCTACAACAGGCAGATAGTGAATGTCCAAAGGCCCCCACAACAGGCAGATAGTGAATGTCCCAAGTCTGCAACAACAGGCAGATAGTGAATGCCCCAAGGCTGCAAAAGCAAGCAGATAGTGAATGTCCCAAGGCCCCCACAACAGGCAGATAGTGAATGTCCCAAGGCTGCAAAAGCAAGCACATAGTGAAGGTCCCAAGGTCCCCACAACAGGCAGATAGTGAATGTCCCAAGTCTGCAACAACAGGCAGATAGTGAATGCCCCAAGGCTGCAAAAGCAAGCAGATAGTGAATGTCCCAAGGCTGCCACAGCAGGTAGATAGTGAATGACCCAAGGCCGCCACAGCAGGTAGATAGTGAATGTCCCAAGGCCGCCACAGCAGGCAGATAGTGAATGTCCCAAGGCTGCCACAGCAGGTAGATAGTGAATGTCCCAAGGCTGCCACAGCAGGTAGATAGTGAATGTCCCAAGGCTGCAAAAGCAAGCAGATAGTGAATGACCCAAGGCCGCCACAGCAGGTAGATAGTGAATGTCCCAAGGCTGCAAAAGCAAGCAGATAGTGAATGTCCCAAGGTCCCCACAAGAGGCAGATAGTAAATGTACTAAGGCTGCAAAAGCAAGCAGATAGTGAATGTCCCTAGGCTGCCACAGCAGGTAGATAGTGAATGACCCAAGGCCCCCACAGCAGGTAGATAGTGAATGTCCCAAGGTTGCCACAACAGGTAGATAATGTATGTCCCAAGGCTGCCACAGCAGGCAGATAGTGAATGTCTCGAAGCTGCCACCGCAGGCAGATAGTGAATGTCCCAAAGCTGCCACAACAGGTAGATAATGTATGTCCTAAGGCCCCCACAACAGACAGATAGTGAATGTCCAAAGGCTCCAACAGCAGGTAGGGAGTGAATGCCCCAAGGCTGCCACAACAGGTAGATAGTGAATGTCCCAAGGTTGCCACAACAGGTAGATAATGTATGTCCCAAGGCTGCCACAACAGGCAGATAGTGAATGTCCCAAGGCTGCAACAACAGGTATATAGTGAATGTCCCAAGGCTGCAAAAGCAAGCAGATAGTGAATGTCCCAAGGTTGCCACAACAGGTAGATAATGTATGTCCCAAGGCTGCCACAGCAGGCAGATAGTGAATGTCTCGAAGCTGCCACCGCAGGCAGATAGTGAATGTCCCAAAGCTGCCACAACAGGTAGATAATGTATGTCCTAAGGCCCCCACAACAGACAGATAGTGAATGTCCAAAGGCTCCAACAGCAGGTAGGGAGTGAATGCCCCAAGGCTGCCACAACAGGTAGATAGTGAATGTCCCAAGGTTGCCACAACAGGTAGATAATGTATGTCCCAAGGCTGCCACAACAGGTAGATAGTGAATGTCCCAAGGCTGCAACAACAGGTATATAGTGAATGACCCAAGGCTGCAAAAGCAAGCAGATAGTGAATGTCCCAAGGTTGCCACAACAGGTAGATAGTGAATGTCCCAAGGCTGCAAAAGCAAGCAGATAGTGAATGTCCCAAGGTCCCCACAAGAGGCAGATAGTAAATGTACTAAGGCTGCAAAAGCAAGCAGATAGTGAATGTCCCTAGGCTGCCACAGCAGGCAGATAGTGAATGACCCAAGGCCCCCACAGCAGGCAGATAGTGAATGTCCCAAGGCTACCACAACAGGTAGATAATGTATGTCCCAAGGCCCCCACAACAGGCAGATAGTGAATGTCCAAAGGCTCCAACAGCAGGTAGAGAGTGAATGTCTCGAAGCTGTCACCGCAGGCAGATAGTGAATGTCCCAAGGCTGCCACAACAGGTAGATAATGTATGTCCCAAGGCTACCACAACAGGTAGATAATGTATGTCCCAAGGCCCCCACAACAGGTAGATAATGTATGTCCCAAGGCTGCCACAGCAGGCAGATAGTGAATGTCTCGAAGCTGCCACCGCAGGCAGATAGTGAATGTCCCAAAGCTGCCACAACAGGTAGATAATGTATGTCCCAAGGCCCCCACAACAGGCAGATAGTGAATGCCCCAAGGCTGCCAAGGCCCCAACAGGCAGATAGTGAATGTCCAAAGGCTCCAACAGCAGGTAGAGAGTGAATGCCCCAAGGCTGCCACAACAGGTAGATAGTGAATGCCCCAAGGCCGCCATAGCAGGTTGATATGGATTTTCTCAATTTCGGCACAGACGATATATACCTGTCTCAACACGACGACAACAGTTAAATACTCATTGTCCCAAAACCGTCATAGTACGTACGTCTAATTTAGCACCTGGTAGGTTTACACATGTATATAACTAGACTCGTCACTTTTCTCATATTGATGTGTCTATAACAGTTTTAGAATACGGAAAACCCAAATAGATTATTGTAATGCAAATGGGCTTAAAGTAATACGCTTTTACGTTCCAGCAGGTTAAAAAATGTTTACATCAATATTGCGCCTATATACTATCCACAACACAAACTATATATCCACTGCTCAAACTATTTACAATACGAACATTCCACAACACAAACTATCCACTGCTCAAACTATTTACAACACGAACATTCAACAACACGAACTAGCCACTGCTCAAACTATTTACAACACGAACATTCCACAACACAAACTAGCCACTGCTCAAAGTATTTACAACACGAACATTCCACAACACAAACTATCCACTGCTCAAACTATTTACAACACGAACATTCCACAACACCAATTAGCCACTGCTCAAACTATTTACAACACGAACATTCAACAACACAAACTAGCCACTGCTCAAAGTATTTACAACACGAACATTCAACAACACAAACTAGCCACTGCTTAAACTATTTACAACACGAACATTCCACAACACAAACTATCCACTGCTCAAACTATTTACAACACGAACATTCCACAACACAAACTACTCACCGCAACACTATCCACAGCATAAACTATCCACAACACTAAAGAATGCTCACAGAGGTTTTCAGCACCATGAATGTTGTTATCGTTGTTTCCTGACTGATTCAGTGTGTCGAGCACTTGGCCTCCCCTGTCGCAGCATCACCAACTTCCAATCTGCCCACAACACCGACAACGACCGTCTCAGCATTGACGTCATCTTAAAGCAGGACAAGAATGGCGAGCAATATAACGACAGTAACGATTCAGTTTGGTACGTTGAATAACGGTAACCACTACTAGTGGAGATTTATCGGAACGTATACCCTGGAGATTATCGAGGATGCGTAAAAAATTTCACTCACTCATTCACTCAGGAACTTTAATACTCCTTCAGGAACTTCCACGTGTGGAACGAGGTGTGGATGAGACGGCCTGACTTGAGCGACAACAACGAGTGGGATGGTTGGCAGGTCATAGATGCCACACCTCAGGAATACAGCGACGGTTAGTAGTAGACATGTCTAGGACTCAACATTTCATAGCGATAGGGGCGGTGGGGTAGCCTAGTGGTTAAAGCGTTCGTTCGTGACGCCGAAGACCCGGGTTCGATTCCCCTCATGGGCACAGTGTGTGAAGCCCATTTCTGGTTTCTCCCGCCGTCACATTGCTGGAATATTGCTAAAAGCGGCGTAAAACTAAACTCACTCATTCACTCACTTACTCATTGCACCGTTCATTAGTTGTGACGACTCAACTATTTCAACAATGTTAATGTCCAGGGGTCTACTGCTGCGGCCCAGCTCCGGTCAAGGCCATCAAAGAAGGGGAGATAAATGTCGGGAAAGATGGCGCTTTCATATTTGCTGAAGTGAATGCTGACCGCGTTGAATACTTAGAGGATCCTGTCACTAATATCTTGGTGGAGACCAGCAGGAGAACCAGCAAGTAAGTTAGTGAGTGAGTGAGTGAGTGAGTGAGTGAGTGAGTGAGTGAGTGAGTATGGTTTTACGCCGGCAATATCATGGCGTGAGACACCAGAAATGGGCTTCACACATTGTGCCCATGTGGGGAATCGAACCGGGTTTTCGGCGTGACGAGCGGACTCATTTTATGATGATATTTTTCATGAAACTCCATATCAATACATGCAGCATCGAATGGCTCATCTCTCAATTAGGTTAAAGATTATTAATCATAAATAGATCACGCTCGTCACTCCGAAGACCCGGGTTCGATTTCCCACAATCCGTAAAGACCATTTTTGGTGTCCCCGTCGTGATAATGCTGGAATATTGCTAAAAGCGGCGTAAAACCAAACTCACTCACTCACTCACTTTAGGGTCTTACTATATTCAATCGAAAACAACCATCAAAATGCTATTACTATCATGTGGTCGTAAAATACTTTTATTTTTATAATTAAAGCGTACTAATGATTGCTTAATTAATATCATTAATTAAATGATGTATGCACGTGATGACATTGGCTCATAATAAATTATCCGATTAATTTCATCATATTGATATTCAGCAGTGCTTATTTCAATAAGTGCACATCGTCTTACGTTTTTTCTTAAATAAGTCTAGTGATTACGTTGTAGCGATAACCTACACTTAAGATAAGATAAGATAAGATAAAAAATAATTATCCAGGAGGAATTCTGTTTCTATCAAAAACGGCCTAAAATGAATATATACAAATTTCACAAAAAAATACACAATAATTACATACACAAAAAGAATGCCGATGATTTCATACAATTAACCACACAGGTAATAAGGCGGAGTTAGTACTTATCGCATGCATGATGACGATTTTTTGCATTAATAGCACGAATACTGGATGATATGAAGGACTGTCCAGCTCTGTTTGTTTAAAGGTAATGTAATCGAAAACGGCGTCGAGGTGGAAGTAGTTCACATCTTCGACGAAGATTTCGAAGTACGCTCAGTTATCAGCCAAAGAAAATGTTTCTGGCTCCAAGCTGCTCAACAGCTTATTTTAAGGTCGCTTCATGCCGGTATGACAACACGAATGTGACGATGTCATGTCTCCAGGCAAAATCTATGTGTGTTTAAAACAGTGCGTTTATCTTGTAATTGGTCTCTGTTTTAAGCGTGGGCAAGAGCATCAGTACCCACATGCCAACGGCCAGGGCGTACAGGGGCGCCTCTATGAGAATGTTGAATGCTAGAGACGAGAAAATGGAACGTCTCGATGTCACCGACCAGTACAAGTATGAGGAAGGTAACCTGTATGTGAAGGTCATGTAAAACAAGGTCGATCGATCGACCGGTTGATTGATTGATTGATGTTTAACGTCGCATTCAGCAATATTCCAGCTATATGACGGCGGTCTGTAAATAACCCAGTCTGAACCAGACAATCCAGTGATCAACAGCGATCTACGCAATTGGGACACGATGACAGCGAGCCTAACCACCCGATCCCGTTAGCCACCTCTTTCGACAGGCATGGGTTACAGATCAAAAGGACCAGTTTTGCTGGGAAAATACAATTACTACAGTATAGTATCCAGTGTTAGGTGTCAAATACTGGGAGGAACATTGTCATAAAAAACGAAGCCAACGGGGAAATAATAATCGAGAGGGCCATACGCGTCATCTTCTCCAGTTCTTCGTTTTCGCATTTTTAGCGTATGGAATAATAGTTTTAATATTCACCAACCGGCGATGTGGCAGTCGATTAAAATTCCGCGCTTTGGTAAATTATTACTTTTGACTGAGGTAAAACGATCGACCCATTTCTAAATTCAATGTGCACTGACGTTCATGTAATTGCCTATAATGGAAATAGATATGAATGTGACCAAACACTTGGTTCCTTGACCTGTTCAGACCTCGAAAAGGAAAGGAACATCGTAAAGAGAGCAGAGCGCATGTTCCGTATGCTGCACGGTGGTGCCGACCTTGAGGAAGTAGAAGAAGTCGCGGACGTTGCTACAGTTGAGGTTAGGAACTGAATACATATAATGTTTCACCAAGTCTGTGTTCGAGCACGTTGCTCTTAATCTGAATGCCTGTTTTTGACCCACAATAAAGTCATTGGTTTACTAACAGCCAACATGCACTGTGTCTTCCCCAGATCACAACAGCGGTTGTAATTAAACAGTATATCTATTTTCAATGTTGGCCATATGACACATTTTCGTTCTTACTGATTGTGGTATCAGCCTTTGCCAAGTTTAGTAAGTGTTGTACATAATTTATTTCATGCCATCACAATCCTGCTTCAGTCTCAGGTTTCCCTTGTCCACACCTGGTACTAAGCAGTCTGTTTTCACATGTACAGCTGAAATATTGCCAGCTGTTAAAAAACATTCACTCACTCACTCACTCACCAAATGACATAACGTGTTATTTCGAAATGATGTATTCAAACAGGACATCGTACTTGACATTGAAGAGATCGATGACATATTTGTGGGTAACGATTTCGAGTTCACCGTACACGTGAGGAACAAAGGTAAAGAAGCCGTAGCTATCAAGGACGTTACCCTGTCGGTGATCTACAAAACGTACTTCGACGCTTCCACTGGAGTGGCGGGCGTGAGGAAGGTCAAGGACATACAGCTGGGCCCGAACCAGAGTACGACCAATCTCTTTCAGTCTAAAGTAAAACCTTGTCATCCGAATTAATCAGTCTTTATCCACTGTGTACATATACGGAGGTTCATTGCAGTTTTCCGTTATTCTGATTTTCACCCACAGTGCAATACAAAGCTTGTGAAGACCCCTGGAAGAAAATAAAGGAACACTTGTACTTTCAATGTGTTCCCTCATTTGTTCCACTCAGTATGTTAAAAAGTTTATGGCTCATTTTAATGTGGATTGTGAAATAGGAAAAGAACATCAAAACCCCTGTTTCATTCAAGCGAGCTTTGTTAATTAGGGTCCGCTCCAGCACTACGTCATTCGTAAGCCTATGATAAACTATAGAGTTACGACAGGTCGTAACGTTACAATTGCTTTGTGGTTCGGTGTTTTCATATTCCTTACTCATTCAGTATTACACCAGGATTGGTATTCTTTGGTGATGAAGTTTTGTGTAAATTCTTTTGTATAAGTATCTTTCTTGTTTCTTTAGCTGAGACGTTGAAGCTTGAAGTGGACAAAGACCGTGCTACTGCTAATCCCAGCGGGGGTTTCAACTTTGAGCTGAAAGCTGTTGCGACCTTCTTCCACACATTCCTCACCGTCAGCGCCAACGAACTGTTCCGACTGAGGAGACCGGACATTGAAGTGAAGGTAAGTCGTGGTTACCTCCCTTTATGACACACAGCTTCTGGCAGCGATGTTCGGTTATAGTGCCGCATTCGTGACCAACTCGTGTTATTCCGGGACAAGCCGAATAGCGACTCGTGTCGCTCTGGAAGGATTCATATTGGCGCAAGAACATCAGAATTGCCTTCAACAAGAACGATAACTCTATTCCTGTTTAATTCCAATGGTACTTAATATTACCATGGTACGCGTATATTGTATTGCTGTTTTTGTTTTTACTTATTCATTTTAAAGAATTAAACCTCTTTGATAATAATAAAAGAAGAAGAAAATCATATTTGTTTAACAATTATTCTAACGTAATTATTACGGCTGTTCACCTTATATTTCCAAATGTATATTTCTAAATAGGGTTTAAGAACCACAAATGAGATTTTGTTTATTGAATATATGCAAATAGAGTAATCTTTTCCCAACTACTTTCAATCCCAAAGCAGATAGTCCAAAATGATTTTGAAATATTTCTCAAACCGAACATTCGTGTAACCTTGCTGACATGCCCCTGGTGGAATTGTGAAATAGATACGCTGAGCAAATAGGAATGACCCCAGAAAAGGCAGACTAAAATATCCTCAGAGATGTGAAATATAAGCCCAATTTTAAAGATGAAAGTTGATTTGTTCTATTTAAATATATAATGCTATTGTTTTGATTAAAATAATTGTATTTCCTAAAAATGTTGTAAAGCGCACGTACAAAACAAGCCCGCAAGATCGTCAAAAGTACACTCCATTGGACGCATGAGAGTCGTTATGTAAACAGACGCACGTGTGTGTATTTGAATCTCTCACCATCCATGGCATTATCCCTATTACAAACTTTCCATGAGGCAACACAATTCTAGATCTGTTAGCTACATTCTTTGTACCTTCAATACGACGGTATATATTTTAATCAGTGACATAATGTCATAAACGATTTAGATCCGCGGGATTATTTTTACCAAAGCACCGCAATCATTACGGGCGTTCTGATTGGCTTGTCGAATTTTCGAAAGGCGGGGACGAGTCTTCTTGGAGGTTAGGAAAGGGGCGAGTGGTGACAAAAATAGTGAGGCATCCGATTGCGACTGATGGATGTATACTGTGTGTGAGTCAGGTACCTATCGGTTATATGTCGATTGTGAGTCAGGTTTATATGGGATGTGGGTTGGAATTGAGTCGATATATGTCGGTATGCATTTTAGGGTCCCGAGACATGCCGCCTGTCTGACGTCATCAAAGTAGAACTGATCTTCAATAACCCATTGGATGTGAAGCTGACAGACTGCAAGATTGACATCGAAGGGGGTCTGGAGTGTGTGGACTTTGAGATCGAAGATTTGGAAGTGAAGTCAGTACTTAGACCTCTCTTACATACCACGTTTTCTGTGGCGTCAGTCCACACACCTTTCTAACATGACATGTTCCCAGTACCTTCAATTCACACATTCCTCTCACAATATTCGGTTCACAAACATTCCTTACACAAAGTTAACAGTAACACGACACGTCTCAAGAGCCTCGGCTTTGAGGAACGTCAATAATAATGTTTTCGTTCACACACATCTCTCAAATAACCTCAATTGTAATGTTTGGTCCACAAACATATCTCACACAACCTCAGCAGTAATGTTTGGTCCACAAACACGTCTCACGTAACTCCAACAGTAATGTTTGGTTCACAAACACCTCTCACATTACCTCGAGTGTAATGTTTGGTTCACAAACATCTCTCACATTACCTCAAGTGCAATGTTTGTTCGACAAACATGTCTCACATTACCTCAAGTGTAATGTTTGGTCCACAAACATCTCTCACATAACCTCAACAGTAATGTTTGGTTCACAAACACGTCTCACGTAAATTCCAACAGTAATGTTTGGTTCACAAACACCTCTCACATTACCTCGAGTGTAATGTTTGGTTCACAAACATCTCTCACATTACCTCAAGTGCAATGTTTGTTCCACAAACATGTCTCACATTACCTCAAGTGTAATGTTTGGTTCACAAACACGTCTCACGTAAATTCCAACAGTAATGTTTGTTCTCTCTCACATTACCTCGAGTGTAATGTTTGGTTCACAAACATCTCTCACATTACCTCAAGTGCAATGTTTGTTCCACAAACATGTCTCACATTACCTCAAGTGTAATGTTTGGTTCACAAACATCTCTCACATAACCTCAACAGTAATGTCTGGTTCATTAACATCTCTCACATGGCCTCAAAAGTAATGTTTGGTTCACAAACATCTCTCACATAGCCTCAACAGTAATGTTTGGTTCACAAACATCTCTCACATTACCTCAAGTGCAATGTTTGTTCGAAAAACATGTCTCACATTACCTCAACAGTAATGTTTGGTTCACAAACATCTCTCACATAACCTCAACAGTAATGTTTGGTTCACAAACATCTCTCACAAACATGTCTCATCTCTTACATAGCTCAACAGTAATGTTTGGTTCACAAACATCTCTCACATTACCTCAAGTGCAATGTTTGTTCGAAAACATGTCTCACATTACCTCAACAGTAATGTTTGGTTCACAAACATCTCTCATATAGCCTCAACAGTAATGTTTGGTTCACAAACATCTCTCACATAGCCTCAACAGTAATGTTTGGTTCACAAACATCTCTCACATTACCTCAAGTGCAATGTTTGTTCGAAAAACATGTCTCACATTACCTCAAGTGTAATGTTTGGTTCACAAACATCTCTCACACAAGCCTCAACAGTAATGTTTGGTTCACAAACATCTCTCACATAGCCTCAACAGTAATGTTTGGTTCACAAACACCTCTCTGATAGCCTTAACAGTAATGCTTGGTTCACAAACATCTCTCACATTACTTCAAGTTCAATGTTTGTTCGAAAAACATGTCTCACATTACCTCAACAGTAATGTTTGGTTCACAAACATCTCTCATATAGCCTCAACAGTAATGCTTGGTTCACAAACATCTCTCTTATAGCCTCAACCCTGCCTGGTTCATTAACATCTCTCACATAACCTCAAGTGTAATGTTTGGTTCACAAACACCTCTCACATAACCTCATGAATAATGTTCAAACACCTCCCACATGACTCCAACAGTAATATTTGGTTCACATGCCTGTGCAACATACATCTTTTTTACTTTCACTTACTGAGATTCATCAGCAGAATCCTATGCTTTGTTCCAGGGATATTGAACCGAGGGGTACGTGGAGTCAGACCCTCAACATGAAGCCCCTCCCTCACCCCCAGAGTAGCAAGGACAGAGACATCAGCATCAGCTTCGACTCGGAACAGTTGCCTGACATCATTGGCTACTATGCCGTGGAAATCAAGTAGTTCTTGATACACAAACAGAGACATATACTCAGCCCTTAGTCTGTCGCTGTCTGTGATTCCTGCTGAAAACTGCTGACTCAACCAAATCCTTCCTTGGCAACTGTCTCCGCAGCATCTTGTTGGGAGTTTTCACTCCTACCCTTCCAATAATGCCTTATACTAGACTGGATCACCTGTGTGTATGGTGTTGGGGTATAACCCGGTTTATGAAACATGTATCTCTGTGTTCTATATTTCATATTTCCTCCATCATTCAACCTCAAGACATTTGGTGCCCGTTCTTTTGCTTCAGTTGCAACCGCACTATGGAACTCACTTCCACTTAAATTACGTACAGCTCCATCCCTTCAAGTGTTCAAGAGTAACCTCAAAACATACCTTTTCAGTCGATACAAACAGTAACTCTCTCCAAGCTCATATTTACTACAATACTGATTCATATGACTTTTTGATGTGTTTGTTTTAAACATTTGTGCGCGCTTTGAGCATGCCCCTTTGTGGTATGGAGTATTGCGCAATATAAGTACCCTTATTATTATTATATCGATTATTCATAACGCAGGTCTTGTTCTTTTATGAAATATTGAACTTAAGATAAAATTCCCAAATCTTATTTGGCACAATTAACTTCAATAGGAATATGATTCCCCTATCTACAATATTTGTGTTTATTCACGTTCTTCGAATTGTATTTGGTGCTTTTTGAAACGCCAATAGGGATGTAATTCTCCTGTGGTATATTTTTGTGTTTATCAAACTAAACGAAATACAGTATAGCAAATTGGGATTCAAGCTTAGATATTTGAATTGTTTAATTATACAGAAAGCACAGATTATACAGAAGAGTAACTGTCTTTTCGAAAAAAACCCGTTTTTCTTGCAAAAATCGTTGCTTTCATTTTCAGTCCTCCCAAACCCTAGGTTTTATGTGGCACTGAGCTCAAATGAATGAATCAAACATAGCTGCAGTCACATGACTGACAGCGCATTTGTGAAAGAAACAATTCTTGGAAATGCTCTAAAATGCTGGCCTATTTGTTATATGTGATGATATATTAACTATAATGTTCGTTAAATGTACATGGTATTTTATGCTCAAAATATGCAATTTTCACAGGTTTAATATACACCTAGCCACCCAGCTTTACTTATAATGATTGTATAAAGGCTTGGAGTCAATAACGGCATGCATTAGATCACACTCGACTGATGTACGTGGTACTCCCTATTGTGTGCCCCCGTGAGTCATGTCCCATACAGCAGCATGTGGCGGCCATGTTATGTCTATTTGTTTCTCATTTGTTTAGTCTTACTCAAATAACAGTGCTTTAATACTCGTCCAATCAAATAACGCAGACAGCGAGAGAAATTCTGTGCGACCTAACCGACAAGACGTTCCTCCCGAAACGAAGCTGAGATAGCGTACAACACTACAGATAAATGTACATATAATATGAGTTTAGAATTTAGAGTTTACACAAGCTTTATACTTTAGCTTCCTAAGTATACAATATTAAACAAACAACAATTGGGTACAGGGTGTGTACCATAATGGAATCGGCAAGCGAGGATGGGTATGGTATATAATCATGAATCTATAGCTGTATGAAATTGTTGCTTGATCTCACTGGGTAGTAAATAGTCTTGTAGCAGCATTTCCATCAGTAACATATAGACAATATCCTACAAAATTGGTTGCACCTTGGGAATGTTTTTCTGCATTATCTATCCTTTCCACTTAAAGCAATAAATACCACCCTCAAACTGTTTCTGTTTGCAAAATATATATTACATTTAAACCTCAAATTGCAATTTTCTGTTTAGATTTAATACTTTTATATTTACATTTTTTGCAACGTATTACTTCTAAAGGTATTCAGCAACACCAGAAGACCTCAAAATGATTACCTATTAGGGGTAAGAATAACATTGAGCATGATGGATAGATCTGAAATAGATTACCCTTCCCAGAAAAGCTTGGTTGCATCAATCATCGGTTATCGTAAAAGTCGCCTTGAAGGGAGAAACTTAGAACGTTTCCAGAGAGATAGGTTTTCCTGTTGTTGGCAACAGAAGTGGTACAGCCTGGAATTGTTGCCTTGCTTGCCATGTGCTGTTATCCTGGGACAGATCAGATATATTTATATATTTTCAGGTTATATTACTTCATAGGTTTATTTCACTATCCCTGCATATACATCTTTTTACTTGTTTGTAAAAAGTATTGAGTTTGAAAGGTGTTTTGTTGTGTTTTCATAAACTTATGCCGATTTTTGGATTCACATGCAGGACAAATACGTACAGTGAGTGAGAGAGTTAGTTTAGTTTTACGCCGCACTCAGCAATATTCAAGCTATATGGAGGCGGTCTGTAAATAATCGAGTCTGGACCAGACAATCCAGTGATCAACAGCATGAGCATCGATCTGCGCAATTGGGAACCGATGACATGTGTCAACCTAGTCAGCAAGCCTGACCACCCGATCCCGTTAGTCGCCTCTTACGACAAGCATGGGTTGCTGAAGGTGAATATTCTAACCCGGAATTTCACTGGTCACAAATAAGTACAGGCATTCAGTAGTAATATTAGATAAACCAAATCACACAAAGACTGCTCAGCCTTCCAGTCTCACACCGAGCATCGTCATCATCATTTAGACGTAGCCACTGGACGGAGGATCAAAGTCCCTCTTTACATATACAGTAAAGCACCGTTATATACGAACTATGATGTGTCGAACTTACGGTTGTGTCGAAATTAAACCTTGCTCCCAGCGTATCCCTTGTTAATTTCGAACAAGTTGGGTTGTTTTTCATTTTCCTCACAAACCTTAGGGTTTATGTGGATTATGTCGGACTTCGGATTACTCAATTACGTAGGTCCCTTCTACTTACAACGGGGGCGGTGGGGTAGCTTAGTGGTTAAGGCGTTCGCTAGTCACACCGAAGACCCGGGTTCAATTCCCAACACGGGTACAATGTGTGAAACATTGGTGGTGTCCCCCGCCGTGATATTGCTGGAGTATTGCTAAAAGCGGCGTACTCACTCACTCACTCACTCATTCACTCACTCGTCACAACGGTGGTTGACTGTATGTAATATACAACTAACACCATATGGTTGATCATAGGCTTCTCACAGTCCCTGAACCACAAGGTCCCCATAACGCCAGCCAAATGTAGACGATATCTGTAGGTCGGAGCAGCTTGACGTTACTATCAAAATTATATATATTCACACGCCTTAGTCTACCATGACCTTTGCTGATACCACGATAACGCTTTCCAATGTTTATTGAGGTCGATATGATTGCCATTACACACGCTCACCTGCCACTACCACGGAATTGTTATAAAATCGCGAATAATTTATTTTATTTTAATGGGATCAACGTTGTCGTAGATTTCCTTATTGTCAGACGAATGGCAGCAGAACCGATATGATTCTCTCACACCAATCTGCTGTTTTAATTGTTATACTGTTGGAACATATTGCATGCTCGTATATGAGATTTATGTAAGACGGTCAATAGTCACCATTTAATGCATGAAAGTAACTAAATCTGGAATCAGGTATACCTATGGTTGATTACACGAACTAAGACTCACACCAACGATAACTTTCAATCAGCGAAGTCACGTATTGCAACCATGCGCAATAGTCGGTGTGCTAGGAACCTATAGCTGTAAATTTCGAGTGTCAGAATGAATTAAAGAGCGAGCGTTCCTGCATGTTTACGGTTTAACATAGATTTTAGGAATATTCGTTATATGGCATAGCGAGGAACACTAGATTTACACTTCACACTTCAGGTAGTGTAACTGTGGAATAGAACCCGGTCTTCGCCTATAAGAAGAGGATTTTCTCGATGTCATTGCGTCAGGATATATCGTATAGCGGAGCGATGTGGTCGTATAGCGTGGCGATGTGGTCGTGTCGATGTGGTCGTATAGCGTGTCGATGTGGTCGTATAGCGTGTCGATGTGGTCGTATAGCGTGGCGATGTGGTCGTATAGCGGGGCGATGTGGTCGTATAGCGTGGCGATGTGGTCGTATAGCGTGGCGATGTGGTCGTATAGCGGGGCGATGTGGTCGTATAGCGTGGCGATGTGGTCGTATAGCGGGCGATGTGGTCGTATAGCGGGGCGATGTGGTCGTATAGCGTGGCGATGTGGTCGTATAGCGGGGCGATGTGGTCGTATAGCGGGGCGATGTGGTCGTATAGCGGGGCGATGTGGTCGTATAGCGGGCGATGTGGTCGTATAGCGTGGCGATGTGGTCGTATAGCGGGGCGATGTGGTCGTATAGCGTGGCGATGTGGTCGTATAGCGTGGCGTATAGCGTGGCGAGGCGATGTGGTCGTATAGCGTGGCGATGTGGTCGTATAGCGTGGCGATGTGGTCGTATAGCGTATAGCGGGGCGATGTGGTCGTATAGCGGGGCGATGTGGTCGTATAGCGGGGCGATGTGGTCGTATAGCGTGGCGATGTGGTCGTATAGCGGGCGATGTGGTCGTATAGCGGGGCGATGTGGTCGTATAGCGTGGCGATGTGGTCGTATAGCGGGGCGATGTGGTCGTATAGCGTGGCGATGTGGTCGTATAGCGGGGCGATGTGGTCGTATAGCGTGGCGATGTGGTGGTCGTATAGCGTGGCGATGTGGTCGTATAGCGGACCGATGTGGTCGTATAGCGTGGCGATGTGGTCGTATAGCGGGGCGATGTGGTCGTATAGCGGGGCGATGTGGTCGTATAGCGTGGCGATGTGGTCGTATAGCGTGGCGATGTGGTCGTATAGCGTGGCGATGTGGTCGTATAGCGGGCGATGTGGTCGTATAGCGGCGATGATGTGTGGTCGTATCGCGGGGCGATGTGGTCGTATAGCGGGGCGATGTGGTCGTATAGCGTGGCGATGTGGTCGTATAGCGTGGCGATGTGGTCGTATAGCGTGGCGATGTGGTCGTATAGCGGGGCGATGTGGTCGTATAGCGTGGCGATGTGGTCGTATAGCGTGGCGATGTGGTCGTATAGCGGGGCGATGTGGTCGTATAGCGGGGCGATGTGGTCGTATAGCGGGGCGATGTGGTCGTATAGCGTGGCGATGTCGTATAGCGTATAGCGATGTGGTCGTATAGCGTGGCGATGTGGTCGTATAGCGGGGCGATGTGGTCGTATAGCGGGGCGATGTGGTCGTATAGCGTAGGCGATGTGGTCGTATAGCGATGTAGTCGTATAGCGGGCGGTATCGTATATGATGTGGTCGTATAGCGTGGCGATGTGGTCGTATAGCGGGCGATGTGGTCATAATGCGGGCGATGTGGTCGTATAGCGTGGTGATGTGATGTATCGTATAGCGTGGCGTATGTGGTCGTATAGCGTAGCGATGATGGTCGTATATAGCGGGCGATGTGGTCGTATAGCGGGCGATGCGATGTATCGTATAGCGATGATGTGGTCGTATAGCGGGACGATGTGGTCGTTTAGCGGGGCGATGTGGTCGTATAGCGTGGCGATGTGGTCGTATAGCGGACGATGTGGTCGTATAGCGGGCGATGTGGTCGTATAGCGGGCGATGTGGTCGTATAGCGTGGCGATGTGGTCGTATAGCGTGGCGATGTGGTCGTATAGCGTGGCGATATAGTCGTATAGCGGGCGATGTGGTCGTATAGCGAGGCGATGTGGTCGTATGGCGTGGCGATGTGGTTGTATAGCGTGGCGATGTGGTCGTATGGCGGGGCGATGTGGTCTTATAGTGGGGCGATGTGGTTGTATAGCGGGGCGATGTGGTCGTATAGCGTGGCGATGTGGTCGTATAGCGGGGCGATGTGGTCGTATAGCCGGGCGATGTGGTCGTATAGCGGGGCGATGTGGTCATATAGCGGGGCGATGTGGTCGGGGCGATGTGGTCGTATAGTGGGGCGATGTGGTGTGGTCGTATAGCGTGACGATGTGGTCGTATAGCTGGGCGATGTGGTGTGGTCGTATAGCGTGGCGATGTGGTGTGGTCGTATAGCGTGGCGATGTGGTCGTATAGCGGACCGTTGTGGTCGTATAGCCGAGCGATGTGGTCCTATAGCGTGGCGATGTGGTCGTATAGCGAGGCGGGGTGATGTGGTCGTATAGCGGGGCGATGTGGTCGTATAGCGTGGCGATGTGGTCGTATAGCGTGGCGATGTGGTCGTATAGCGGGGCGATGTGGTCGTATAGCGTGGCGATGTGGTCGTATAGCGGGGCGATGTGGTCGTATAGCGGGCGATGTGGTCGTATAGCGGGGCGATGTGGTCGTATAGCGTGGCGATGTGGTCGTATAGCGTGGCGATGCGATGTAGTCGTATAGCGTGGCGATGTGGTCGTATAGCGGGACGATGTGTGGTCGTTTAGCGGGGCGATGTGGTCGTATAGCGGGGCGATGTGGTCGTATAGCGGGGCGATGTGGTCGTATAGCGGGGCGATGTGGTCGTATAGCGCGATGTATAGCGGGGCGATGTGGTCGTATAGCGGGCGATGTGGTCGTATAGCGGGGCGATGTGGTCGTATAGCGGGGCGATGTGGTCGTATAGCGTGGCGATATAGTCGTATAGCGTGGCGATGTGGTCGTATAGCGAGGCGATGTGGTCGTATAGCGTGGCGATGTGGTCGTATAGCGTGGCGATGTGGTCGTATGGCGGGGCGATGTGGTCTTATAGTGGGGCGATGTGGTTGTATAGCGGGGCGATGTGGTCGTATAGCGGGGCGATGTGGTCGTATAGCGGGGCGATGTGGTCGTATAGCGGGGCGATGTGGTCGTATAGCGGGGCGATGTGGTCATATAGCGGGGCGATGTGGTCGGGGCGATGTGGTCGTATAGTGGGGCGATGTGGTGTGGTCGTATAGCGTGACGATGTGGTCGTATAGCTGGGCGATGTGGTGTGGTCGTATAGCGTGGCGATGTGGTCGTATAGCGGACCGTTGTGGTCGTATAGCCGGGCGATGTGGTCGTATAGCGTGGGCGATGTGGTCGTATAGCGTGGCGATGTGGTCGTATAGCGGGGCGATGTGGTCGTATAGCGGGTCGATGTGGTCGTATAGCGGGGCGATGTGTTCGTATAGCGTGGCGATGTGGTCGTATTGCGTAATGAAGTAAGTGATTCCAGGATGTGTTGGAGTGGATACGACCCGTGAAGGTCCGGGTTAGAATGTACCTTCAGTAACCCATGCTTGTCGTGAGAGGCGACTAACGGGATCGAGTGGTTAGGCTCGCTGGCTTGGTTGACACATGTCATCGGTTCCCAATTGCGCTGATTGCTGTCGATCACTGGATTGTCTGGTCCAGACTCGATTATTTACAGACCGCCGCCATATAGCTGGACTATTGCTGAGTGTGGCGTAAAACTCAACTCACTCACTCAGTCACTGGGGTGGATACGTTGAACACCTGGGATGATCTGAGCATTGGTCACTGCAGTATCGGCAGTGAGTCTTGGTGTTCTGACTCGTACGATCGGCGACGTCATTTTGGTTTTGATAACGTCCTAACAGTGCTAAAATGATGTTTGGGTTGCTTTAGAAATGCGCAGCCTCCCAAAACACTCCCCGACGGACCTCCCGTAACCGCATGCCTTTGATTTCCTATGTGCAGAGTTTCCTTTTGTATCTGTAGTATACATCACTATTGAAAAACCCTGTCTTGTTTGTTTCATTTTGTAGCCACCATAAAATGGGTATATATACTGAGTCAAAAAAGAAACTTCACATTCTTTCTTCAGGGCACTATAAAAGAACAAGAGATGGTAAGATGGTTAAATTGTTATTATTTCATTGCTGAGATCTGTGGGATTATGACAGTGCCATAATCAGTTCCATTAGGCTACACCGCCGTTCCAAAACATGGGTATACAGAATGTCAAGTCACAAGAATAAAAATGCGAAATATCTCAGTTCAATATCGTGTATGGCCGCCCCGCGCATTCACCACTGCCAAACACCGTCTCCTCATCGACTGCCTGATGCTTGTGAACACGTGGTTGGGGATTCTGCGCCATTGCTCTTGCAAGGCAGCGCCAAGTTCCTGCAAATTCTGAGGTTGGTTCCTAAGACCACGAAGCCTTCTCCCAAGTGCATCCCAAACGTGCTCTATTGGATTAAGGTCAGGGGACCTCGATGGCCAGTCCATGACGTTGATTCCAGCGTTTTGAAGGAAATTTCGTGTCGACATCGCGGTATGCGGCCGAGCATTATCATGCTGGAACTGTAGACCTGGGCCATGAGCCGCCATGAAAGGACCGAGTTCAGGGGTGAGCACCTGGTCGCGGTAAGCAGCAGCTGTGAGGTTTCCATGGATGACCAGTAGTCGGGAACGGTTGTTCCCACAGAAAGCACCCCACACCATGCAACTTCCGCCCCCGAATCTGTCGACTTCCTTTACACAACATTGGGCATACCGTTCACGACGTCGTCTCCAGACTCTATGCCTGCCGTCAGCGAATCTGAGGGTAAACCTGGATTCATCGCTAAAGACGACTCGATTCCAGTCTCTCTGGGTCCATCGGAGGTGACGTTGGGCCCACAGCAGACGTTGACGTTGATGAAACGGCGTCAATATTGGCCCACGATATGGACGTCGAGAATGGAGATTGGCAGCCCGCAACCGATTTCGAATGGTCTGTGAGGACAGTCGACCTCTAAACATCTCAGCCCTGGTTCGTGTAGCCGGCAGAAATCTGTCACGTAGGTGACGTAGGACGATTTGACGGTCTTCTGCTCGTGACGTCACACCTTGGGCGATCAGAAGTGGTGTCAGTTTGTTGTAGACGACCTCGCAAGTCATACACAGTACGACGGCTGCATCCCATTGCTCTTGCGACGTCAATAACTGATCTTCCCGCTTGCAACATGCCAACGGCACGTTCACGTTGCCCATTTGACAATCGTGGCATTTCCAGTACCGTTAGAACTGTGGTTTAAAAGTGTTTTTTCAATTCTTGAGGCCAATGCAAACACGTGCATATGAAAAACTTCGATGCGAAGATCACGTGATCGACTGCACGTGCAAAACCTGATTTGGCACTAACGTCATTTGCACGACGAATGGATGGGTTTGAGTGGGTTTTGCTAACGTTTTTCTAGAGTCGAAAGATAGGGATCCCATTTCGGCTACATAGATGTATCATCAGAGAAAAATTATTCATTATTTTTCAAATTACATTTTGTGAAGTTTCTTTTTTGACTCAGTATAGTTTCTTTGACCCGACAGTGTAGGTTGTTATAACTTGTCAAAAGCATGTAATGAACTTTGGGTCTCTCAATTTCGTCAGATCCATATTGGAGCCAAGGCTAAGGATAACAATATTCATTCATATTTGGACAGAATATATGTATTTTCTTATGAGTTATAGTTTTTTCTGTGGAATCCCAGAAGAGGTATCGTCGACTTAAAACCCCTTCCAAACCAAACATTTGTCATATTATCGCCCTCAGGTAAGGGTTAAAAATACCATTCCAAGTGATACAATGCGTCAGAGATCAAATGGTGGCCTCTTTGCCCTTTGGTAAATTTTGGTACATTTTTTGCTTGCTTTTGGAAGGGTGTCAGTTGGACAATGCCAGTACAAGGGACCCGTACTCTTCTTTAAATATAAAACCGACCAGTTTGATTGGCATTTAAATTGGCAGGTTTTAGAAGTTGATGAGTATTTAATGGATGACTGGTTAGCCTACCTTTCATTTGATAACTGACTATGAAGACATATATCAGTCGACATATACTTCATGCCAACCAGTAATGTAGGGTCCCTTGCTGTATTTATTCACCACTTGACTAGTATGAATACATATGCTATGAATATCAATTACTTAGAGATAGACCTGATATAAAATTCGAGGCTGAATTATGCTTTCGATCCACGTGCGGCCACGTGCCTAGAATATGTGTTATCTTCAACACTGACAGAGGCCGCCATATTTACCAACAGGTAAGAGCTTGGATATTAACGTTTTCCTGAGCATCATCAAACCAGGTATGTAGTTTGAAATAACCGATCATTCGGGGCTGGTGTTTTATTTCTGAATAGTTATAATAAATTCTCTAAGAATATATTTTCACCATTCTTCAATTTTTATAACCAAATTTCCGATATTGGCATTTATTTTTTGACATAATTGGTTTAGAATCTTAGTTTTGGTTACTGTACTGACTGTTCTACAGTAAATATTCGTGTATGTTCACACTGATATGACTGCTCCTCTAACTGTTGATAGACCCAAGGGCACCACTTTGGTGAAACACACGAACATAGGTATTGTGTTGACAAACCTAGAAACGTATATATCAGGGGGAAATCGGATTCGAACCCGCGATCATTTTCATGCTATCGAGATCCTGTAGTCTTACTTTTATGTCGCAGTGCTAGGTGCTTCTCTTGTTTGTGCCAGGAAACATGAACCTTGATTTGTCAGCACAATTCCTGTCTGTAAACATCCATCTAAAGTTTAATCTTCCTCACTAAGCTGAACAAAAGTAATTTTCACAGAAATACTACTCACAGCGGCGTAAAATCCTTCTCACTCACTCACTCATTCCGTCAGGAAGTATTCTTGTAAGGAAAGTCTGCATCTACGTCGTCGTCGGAGGTTCAGGACGCCGCCATGTTCAGACGGTATGGAGGAAACACACCGCGCACGTCCACGAGCAGACCACGGTACGTCCCGGAGAATTTCTATATAGTAACTTCATTAAATCCGTTATGAATTATATTATACATAAACATATTATGCAATATATTATGTATAGTTCTTAGGGAATTTAAGATCTGGAAAAATAACCTTCATCACATTTTTGTATTTCATCAAAATTCAACCTAAGCTTCTAAGTTTTCGGTTATTTTCGGATTGTACTGTACGGATTGTTTATAATTTCTTATGGCTCCTCCCGGCAAATAGCTGCAAAGTTGCTGATGCTTCGTAATATAAGCAAATTTTACTCACTCACTCAAGACATGGTTATGTTGGATTCTGTGACAATTATAAGGACCGAATAAGATGTGGATAAACACTGCACTTATACTCCTGGGCCTAGATTTTAGAAGCTCTCTTAGCGCTAAGATAGTCGTAAGTTAATGTTAATGTATGGCACTTACGACTATCTTAGCGCTAAGAGAGCTTCGAAAATCTAGGCCCTGGCTCTCTTAGCGTTAAGATAGTCTTAAGTGCCATACATCAACATTAACTTACGACTATCTTAGCGCTAAGAAAATCTAGGCCCTGGTCCAAATGTTTGAGACAATACGATAATATCGGACGTAATTAAAACCTCGATTTACCATCAGCTGGAGTTTGAGACTTGAGCCGCACTACTATACAAGAGCTCATGTCTTTTATCGACCGTTATTTGTAACCTGTCGATCACTATGCATGTTAAGCAACTATGTTCCCAGGGTGATCCCGAGTGATGAGAGCGTGTACCCCACCTACTCCTATGGACGACGTCGACCGCGAGTATGGGACCGCGACAGAATCTTTTGGGGTCCCAAAGACATTACACTTTACTGCGGTATGAACTCACTCAATATATCTCTCACCAAAAGTTAAGACAACCATAAAATGATATATGATATTGTTTATATTATTTGTAAATCGTGTTTGTACGATTGTAACCGAATAGTCCATTCTAATTTTTTTGAAAAATCTGTAAAATGTTGGTTTTTTAGAGAAAAAGACAATAAATGTTTTTTAAGAAAAATAATATGCAATGTAATAAAAGATATTACGCATATATGACATTACACACACAAGCACGCACACATGTGATTATCTGTCACAATACATTCAATGGACGTAACAGGCAATCAGTGATGACGAATATCTAGATGAATCACTGGCAGTCAGTAATGAAACCAGGTGTTCACGGAATGGGTAAACGTGTCCTGCTCTTCGTGTAGCACCCGTCATTCACACATTGTCAATAAAGACTCACACATTGTCAATAAAGACTCACACATTGTCAATAAAGACTCACACATTGTCAAAAAAGACTCACACATTGTCAATAAAGAAGTAATACTCACTCAGCGACCTGTAAACAAACCGTCTGGACCAGGCAATCCAGTGACAGTGTAAGGTTAGCTGTCCCCTTATATGAGTGTGTCCCACAAGCTATCTGAGTGTTACGACGGTCATATGTGTTATATAGTGTCGGATTGGTAGTCGTAGAGTGGATCGCTCTGGCAGCTGTGGTTTTAAATTTATGCAAAAATTAGAATGCTATGTTGATCATTAATCACTCCGGCTAGTGCAACCTTGACGGTTGGTTGGTCGGTTGTTGATAACGCCGCACTCAGCATTAAAAGACTAATGAAAATGTCGTCAAAATGAAGTGTGCACCCCCATCCCCCACCCCACCCTCCCCTTCCTCAAAAAGCTGTACCCGCCCCTGTTTAGAATTTGTCTTCAGTAACCCATGTTTGTCGTAAGCGGCGACTACCGGCATCCAGTGGTCAGGTCTTTTGTCCGTTGTATTCCAAATGCAATGCCCGATGCTCATGACGTCAATCATCTGGATGTCTGACCCATTCTCTATTATTTATGACCACCGACAGAGAGCTGGTACTTTGCTTAGTGTTGCTTCAAACGAAAGACAACTCTCCAGTTATTGCTGGAACTACTACATACATAACATCACACTGTGACGTTATAGTGCCTGATCGACTGAACATACTTGGCAGCCAATTAGTCTGATTCCAGTTACCGTCTAAGCTTCAGGTTTCCACACATCAAGTGAACAGCCTATTTGGGCGATAGCAAATAAACGATCGGTGGATGGATCACTGGGTCCTGAATCCGTGAAGATCCGGGTTAGAATTGTTTTTCAGCAACCCTTGCTTGTCGTACGAGGCGCCTGGTCAGATTCGTATCCCAGTTGTGTAGATCGATGTTCATACTGGTGATCACAGGGTTCAGTTGTGTAGATCGATGTTCATACTGGTGATCACAGGGTTCAGTTGTGTAGATCGATGTTCATACTGGTGATCACAGGGTTCAGTTGTGTAGATCGATGTTCATACTGGTGATCACAGGGTTCTCTGGACCAGACTTGAATATTTGCAAACCGTCGCCGTATAGCTTGAATATTGCTGAATGTGGCGTTAAACATCAAACAAACAAATAAAACGAATCGAACATACTGGGCAGCCAATTGACCGGATTCCAGTAACCGTTAAGGCAAGAGGCCTTCATAGATCAGTGGGGGCAGCCTATATGGGAGAGAGCAAATGAAGGATCTGTGGATTGATCATGGGATACTGAAGTATTGCCTGTCTATGTGCAGATTCCGATGAGGAGGACAACGAGGAGGAATGCATCTCCGAAGTGATCTCCCCCTTGCTCGAGACCAAGCTGCACGTGACGCACGTGGACCTGCACGTGCCGGACAACACAGCTGCCCACCACACTGACCGCTATGAGTGCACCAGCGACCGGGTCAGGGAGAGTGACAGTACTGAGCAGAAGGCGCGACTGGTCCTCCGTCGAGGGCAGGAGTTCAAGATCACTCTCCACTTCGACAGACCTTACGATATTCCTAAAAATGACATCACGCTCACCTTTCACTTGGGTATGTACCAGTACTGCAAAGAACCGACACTTCTAAAATATTCTTCGAGGTGTTCCGTTTTATACATTACAAGTAAATGAGAAAGATATAATTCGAATCCGTGGTGTAGTGGTTAGAGCGTCCGCCCGGAGAGCGGAAGGTCGAGGGTTCTATCCCGACCGCGTCATACCAAAAGACGTTAAAGTATGGTACTTGTTGGTCCCTGCCTGGCGCTCGGCATTAATGGGTACAACAAGGACTGGTCGGCTCGAGTCAGTATAATGTGTCTGAGTGGGGTGTTCATGCTTCACTGCGGCATGGTATCTCAGTGGGCTAGCGCTATAAAACCAGCTTAAGTCTGGGCTAGTACAAGCAGCCGCACATACACATACACACGCATGCACGTCGTCATATGAGCAAACTATTCTCAAGCACGACGTAAAACCCAATTTCACCTCACCTCACCTCACTCTATCAATCTTACAGAGGGCAGCTACAAGGCAGCACGGACCACCAGCGCCACTATAAAGGTTGACGAGTCTGGAGATACCAGCTTCGACAAGAAGAGGTGGGGTGCCTCCGTGGTTCGACAGGAGAACAAATCTCTGACGCTGTCGGTGTTCGCGCCAGCGTACATCCCCGTGGGAGAGTGGGACTTCAGCGTGACTACTATCGTTGACGTCAAGGACGGCGAAGACCTAATCTGGGAGTACAAGCACAACGAACAAATCTACATCATCTTCAATCCCTGGTGTAAAGGTAACAGTCTGAAAGCACCATGGTGATATTGTCATGTGGCAGTGTTATATATTGTGTAAAGTCGAATACATTGTATATATGGATAGTGAGTGAGAGAGTGTGGCTTTACGCCGCTTTTAGCAATATTCCAGCAATATCACGGCGGGGTACACCAGAGATGGGCTTCACACATTGTACCCATGTGATAAATAGAACCCGGGTCTTCAGCGTAACGAGCGGACGTTTGAATCCGAGCTCACCTCCCCGGGTAGTCAGTGAGGGTAGTATGTTTAGACTTGTACCAGATGTAGAAAATAAATCGGGAAAGTGCTACAAGGAGTTGATTCCAGTACCATCTGCCATCTGAGAGTATTGCAGAGTTTTCTCGCAGTTTACTTTTGACGCCAAAAGAAACGTTACCCTCCTTCCTTAATGACGGAGGTACCTATCTTCAGCTGGCGTTCTCTGCCTGGCGCTCGGCATTAATGGGTACAAGGACTGGTCGGCTCGGAGTCAGTATAATGTGTCTGAGTGGGGTACTTCACTGCGGCATAGTATCTCAGTGGGCTAGCACTATAAAACCAGCTTAAGTCTGTGCTAGTACAAGCAGCCGCACATACACATACACACGCCTGCACGTCGTCATATGAGCGAAATATTCTCAAGCACGACGTTAAACCCACTTTCACCTCACCTCACCTCACCTCACCTCACCTTTAACGGAAATGTCCGAAATGTTGATACTGATGGATCATAATATGTACATTAAGTATGTTTGGCCCAAATTTGCTTTAAGCCTTCTGAGCCTAACAAGGAGCTTACTAAGTGAATGGTATTGTTATAATTATTATGAATGTAATCTCTTCCAATTGTCATTTCTCTGCTCTCTCACAGATGACTGGGTCTACCTGGAACACGAGGACTGGATGAAAGAGGCTGTTCTCAGTGACTCGGGCGTGTTGTACTTTGGTAGCCCGTATAGGGTCGGTGCCCGCCCTTGGTGGTTCGGGCAGGTAATATAGGCTACTGTCTACTGGCTGGTAGTTTCCTATGTTTATATCCAAATCGATTCATGTTTATTGCATGTGGGATGATATGTGTAAAGAACCCAAACAATCCCCAATGATCTATACGTAGAGTTCGTTTCGTTTGTATTTGTCAAAGACCTGGGTCCATCTCCAGACCACTCAGATCATCTCACTTTAACAGAACAAGGAGACAAATGCTAAGAGTCCTACGTCTCATGCTTCTAATCTTCGCAGACATAAATGGAAACATAAACACCGTAAATTCTGTTAATTATGCCTTTAAGTATACTTATCTCCGGTGATGATACTCTCAGATATAACTAAATTCCTCAGTGTTTCACACTTGCAGTAGTGAGTGAGTTTAATTTTACGCCGCACTCAGCAATATTCCAGCTATATGGCGGCGGTCTGTAAATAATCGAATCTGGACCAGATAATCCAGTGATCAACAGCATGAGCATCGATCTACGCAATTGGGAACCGATGACATGTGTCAACCAAGTCAGAGAGCTTGACCAACCGATCCCGTTAGTCACCTCTTACACACACTTGCAGTAAGTACCAGCCATTATCTGTGTTGCGTTACAGTTTGATGACGGCATCCTGGAAGCTGCCTTGCATCTCATCAGGAAGGGTTTCGGCTACGAGGCATCACCTGCCATGGGGGACGCTACTAAGGTGGCACGACTTCTGGCCAAGCTGGTGAGTGAGGAGTTCACGGTTGTTTTGTTGTTTAACGCCGCACTCTGCAATATGTCAGCTATATGGTGGCGGTCTGTAAATAATCAAGTCTGGACCAGACAATCCAGTCATCAACAGCATGAGCATCGATCTGCGCAATTGGGGATACGATGACATGGGTCAACCAAGTCAGCGAGCCTGACCACACGATCCCGTTAGTCGCCTCTTACGAAGACCAGCTCTAATCCGGATATTCACTGGGGAAACATGCATGGGTTACTGAAGACGAATTGTAACCCGGATCTTCACGGGTATAACGTCTTGTAAATACAGTCAGGAAGCTGTTGACTTAAATACGTCCTCGGCATGCTAAATCACGGGACTAAATCACTGCAACTATCTTCTTTAGCAGGATACAGGGTATAATAATACAGACGTTTCTTTCTTCTACTAATCAGCGTTAAGGTTATGCTCATTCTAATTTTCCATTTATCCCTTACCAAAAACACCCGTTTGTTTCCTCAGGTGAACGCCCCTGACGATGACGGCGTGGTGATGGGCAACTGGACAGGGGAGTACGAAGGGGGAACTTCCCCCTCAACCTGGGTTGGCAGCGTGAAGATTCTCCGGGAGTACATGTCCACAGCAAAGCCGGTCAAGTTCGGACAATGCTGGGTATTCGCTGGTGTTCTTACAACAGGTACAAGCGGTTAATTGGGTTGTTTCTTTTCGTTGATAGTAAGGTTCGCAGTTGCTTTGAACTCGATTCACATTCATCGCGTAGTGGCAAGTTAAGGTAGGGGGGATGTTAAGCAGAGATGGCTCGAAATTCATTAACTCGGACTGCCAGATTAAGTTGGAAGGAAAGCTGAAAGAGTGGTTGACATAATATTTACCACTTCAATGATACTCAAGTGCAGGTGTGCTACCCAGTTTCATCATCGATGACAGTTTCTAAAGGGCACAGTAAAAGCGGCGTCAATGAGCACTGGTCAAAACGGCCATCTTTTGGTTCATAAATCTAATATCGCATTTCGAGGACACAATCACGGGTTGCCACACTGAACATGGAATACTGATTGCCGACATAGCTAAACTGCCCAAAACATCTATTGATAATCTCAGCATCACAAATAATCCAATTTTCATGCCAACGCTTAACACTGGGTGGCCCGGGAAGATCCGGGTTAGAATTAGTCAGACTCTCTGACTTGGTTGATGCATGTCATCGTATCCCAACTGCGTAGATCGATGTTCATGATATCTGTCACTGGATTGCTGAGTTTGACGTTAAACAACAAACATACACATGTTAACAGTGGCTTGTGGTCTGTTTAAAGTGTGCCGAGCGTTGGGCATGCCATGCCGTAACATCACCAACTTCTCCTCTGCTCACAACACCGACGCCGACCACCTCAGCGTCGACAGGATCAACGTGAAGGATGAGAACGGCGAATGGATAGACATCTCCAACGACTCCGTCTGGTAAGTTCTGTAGGGAGAGTGACAAGCCCTGGTTGGTTGACGTTAGCTAGTGTCACCTCTCCAGCATGTCCCACAAGCTCAGCATGACCCGAGTTACATCTCAGAAAGAAGAGCAACCACTTCGTAGCCATCAGTTGTAGCCTGTGTTCTGACATCTTTACTGGCGTGTCTAAGAAGTCAAATCTCCTCAGAAGCACGCATCTGTGAAATACATAATGCATGCTTCAATTTGCAGTCGTTTACGGTTCTTTAACAAACTCCTCAATTCAGGAATTTCCATGTGTGGAACGAAGTGTGGATGAGGCGACCAGATCTGAGCGACAGCAACGAATACGACGGGTGGCAGGTGATCGACGCCACCCCACAGGAGACCAGCTACGACGGTAAGTTGTCCTGCCTTCTTAAATTGCTACAATGTTGACATAATCTAAACCAGTGCCGTTCCAGATATGATCGTTGGTGCACCAGCGTTAAACAACGCTCACAGTTCAATCCTATCCACAAAGTAAAGAACGGCGCAACTCCCATGCAATAGCATGGATTGTAATAGCGTCATTGACATCGTTGTCGCCGCAGTCAACAATATTCCATCCTCACAACTGATCATGAGGCGTGTAAATACTTTGACAATCGTTCCGAAAACGATGACACGTAATAAGCCTTGTCACCGATCCCAGCAAGCTATCAGATTCATACTGGTCTAGCTTTCCGCCAAGCATGTTTTACTGAGGAGACTAAGGTCCTTCTTGGACTAGATATGTCAAACATATGTATAATATAGTATCTATGTCGTGTAATTCATGGTGTCCGTCCTGATTCCCAGGAGTGTACACGTGTGGTCCGTGTCCAGTGAAGGCCATCAAGGAGGGAGACATCAACGTGGGGTCCGACGGTGCCTTCATCTTCAGCGAGGTGAACGCCGACACTGTGGAGTGGAAGAGGGACGAGAAGACGGGCATGCTGGTGGAGACCAAGCGGATCCCCAACAGGTAGAATACTGGGGTGGGGCGTAGTACTGGAAGGTGGGATGCTGTGCTGAGGGGTGGGATGCTATACTGAGGGTCAGGGTGCAATACTGGAGGTGGGGTGCAGTACTGGGTGGGATGGGGTGCAGTACTAAGGGTCGGGGTGCAGTACTGAGGGGTGGGATACTATACTGAGGGTCGGGGTGCAATACTGAGGGTTTGGGTGCTATATTGAGGGGCGGGGTGCTGCAGTACTGGGGGTCGGGGCGCAGTACTGAGGGTGCAGTGCAGTACTGAGGGTTTGGTGCTGCAGTACTGAGGGTCGGGGTGCAGTACTGACAGGTGGGATCCTATACTGAGGGGTGGGTGATGCAGAACTGAGGGTCGGGATGCAGTACTGAGGGTTTGGGGTGCTGCAGTGCTGAGGGTAGCTGTGCAGTACTGGCAGGTGGGATCCTATACTGAGGGGTGGGGTGCTGCAGTACTGAGGATCGGGGTGCAGTACTGGGAGTGGGGATCCTATACTGAGGGGTGGGGTGCTGCAGTACTGAGGGTCGGGGTGCAGTACTGGCAGGTGGGATCCTATACTGAGGGGTGGGGTGCTGCAGTACTGAGGGTCGGGGTGCAGTACTGGCAGGTGGGATCCTATACTGAGGGGTGGGGTGCTGCAGTACTGAGGGTCGGGGTGCAGTACTGGCAGGTGGGATCCTATACTGAGGGGTGGGGTGCTGCAGTACTGAGGGTCGGGGGTGCAGTACTGGCAGGTGGGATCCTCCTATACTGAGGGGTGGGGTGCTGCAGTACTGAGAGTCGGGGTGCAGTAGTGGCAGGTGGGATCCTATACTGAGGGGTGGGGTGCTGCAGTACTGAGAGTAGGGGTGAAGTACTGGGAGGTGGGATCCTATACTGAGGGATGGGGTGCTGCAGTACTGAGAGTAGGGGTGAAGTACTGGGAGGTGGGATCCTATACTGAGGGGTGGGGTGCTGCAGTACTGAGGGTCGGGGTGCAGTACTGGGAGGTGGGATTCTATAAAGAGGGGTGGGGTTCTGCAGTACTGAGAGTAGGGGTGAAGTACTGATCTAGAGTAGGGGTGAAGTACTGATCTAGTGTAGGGGTGAAGTACTGATCTAGTGTAGGGGTGAAGTACTGATCTAGTGTAGGGGTGAAGTACTGATCTAGAGTAGAAGTACTCAAGTACTATCTAGTGTAGGATGGATGGTAAAGTGTATGATAAAAGTAAAATGTAGTAAATTGAAACGACGGCTAAAAAAACCCATCTAGCCTGATTACCGATTGGACGTTAGGATAATTGTACCATTTAGAGCATATGCTGTTTGTTGTATATAAGTTACACGGCGATATATACGTAATCTCGTTGTTCCAGTATTGGCTTCTGTATGTCCACCCACATCCCTAACGGACGCTCGTTCCGAGGGGAGACGATGGGCTCCCTCAACTACGGTCCGGACAAGTTGGAGCGTCTGGATGTCACTGACGAATATAAGTACCGAGAGGGTGAGCACTACACTCAAACTTAGTAAACAACTCAAGTGTAAAGAAGGTCAGGTGCAAAAGTTCAAATCTGTAGTTACAAAGGCGTTTAAAAATGTACCCCTTTTTGAAGTTATGAAACGAGGATCGTGATTGATGGAAAACAAGCTGAAGAGGTGACACACAATCACCACTCGTTCACAGCCTTAAAATTTAGGAACTCCGATTTTTGTCGGACATTAAACGAGTATGTGCCGCCACAACCGTAGATCGGTCGGCATAAGTAGTTATAGGCTGAATATAGTAATGCTTGGAATGAAGCGCACAAACCAGGCGGCCCAAAACACAACATCTCAGTGTCATGTCTGAAAAGTTTGTCATCCACTTAAGATTGATCCCCGGACACCTGCATTTTGCCATGAAGTAAGGCCCTAATGCATTAAACATATCTACCTTGATGGATAAGGGCGTTCTTGTCAATGGACATGTTTGACTTGTGGGCGTCGTTTCTTTAAAATATTGATAAGGTATGCCTATATTATTGGATTCTTGAAATACAATCAAGCCATGTGAATATTTTTTGTTATCAAGTATGTAATGTGTTTACAACCAGTGGTTGAAATGTGCTGGCATTTAGTTCAACACTCTTGCGTGCCATGTGTCAGGTGAACTAAGACACGACACATCAGATTTGTTGTGCAGAAATAGTTAACTTTCAAGTTTGATACAGAGTTTCCGCAGTGTTCCAATGGTGTTCCTGCAGCAAGAACTTCCAAATGGGAGAAGATGACATCTTTCCAGAGCCAGAGTGATAATGTAATGTGTGTCAAAATGTATCTGACTCATGTGCCATAGTATCGGTGTCATGAGGCTGTATCTGATGATATGTCATGTATCAGTCATGTGTCATGTGTCATGAGACAGATGTATCTGGGTAATGTGTCATAAGGCAGGGGCTGTATCTGGATCATATGTCATGTGTCATGAGACAGTGTCAGTGATGTATCTGGGTAATGTGTCATAAGGCAGGGCTGTATCTGGTATCATGCGTCATGTGTCATGAGACAGAGATGTATCTGGGTAATGTGTCATAAGGCAGGGCTGTATCTGGTTCATGCGCCATGTGTCATGAGACAGAGCTGTATCTGGGTAATGTGTCATGAGGCAGGGCTGTATCTGGATCATATGTCATGTGTCATGAGACAGAGATGTATCTGGATCATATGTAATGTGTCATAAGGCAGGGCTGTATCTGGTTCATGCGCCATGTGTCATGAGACAGAGCTGTATCTGGGTAATGTGTCATAAGGCAGGGCTGTATCTGGATGATATGTCATGTGTCATGAGGCAGGGCTGTATCTGGTTCATGCGCCATGTGTCATGAGACAGAGATGTATCTGGGTAATGTGTCATAAGGCAGGGCTGTATCTGGTTCATGCGCCATGTGTCATGAGACAGAGATGTATCTGGGTAATGTGTCATAAGGCAGGGCTGTATCTGGATCATATGTGTCATGAGACATATGTGTATCTGTATCTGTATGTGTCATGAGGCAGGGCTGTATCTGGTTCATGCGCCATGTGTCATGAGACAGAGATGTATCTGGGTAATGTGTCATAAGGCAGGGCTGTATCTGGATGATGTGTCATGTCAGAGATGTGTCATAAGGCAGGGCATGACAGGGCTGTATCTGGATGATATGTCATGTGTCATGAGGCAGGGCTGTATCTGGTTCATGTGTCATGAGACAGATGTGGATCTGGGTAATGTGTCATGTGTCATGCGCCAGTGTCATGACAGAGATGTATCTGGGTAATGTGTGTCATAAGGCAGGGCTGTATCTGGATGATGCACCATGAGACAGAGATGTATCTGTCATGTGTCATGAGACAGAGCTGTGTATCTGGTTCATGTGTCATGAGACAGAGATGTATCTGGGCCATGTGTCATGAGACAGAGTGTCATGTGTCAGGCAGGGCTGTATCTGGATGATATGTCATGTGTCATGAGACAGAGATGTATCTGGGTAATGTGTCATGTCTAGAGGGCTGTATCTGGTGTCATGAGGCAGGGCTGTATCTGGTTCATGTGTCATCAGACAGAGATGTATCTGGGTAATGTGTCATGAGGCAGGGCTGTATCTGGTTCATGCGTCATGTGTCATGAGACAGAGATGTATCTGGGTAATGTGTCATAAGCCAGGGCTGTATCTGGATGATATGTCTTGTGTCATGAGACAGAGATGTATCTGGGCCATGTGTCATGAGACAGGGCTGTATCTGGTTCATATGCCATCATCATGAGACAGAGATGTATCTGTCATAGACAGATGTATGTATCTGGGTAATGTGTCATAAGACAGGGCTGTATCTGGATCATATGTCATGTGTCATGAGGCAGGGCTGTATCTGGTTCATGCGCCATGTGTCATGAGACAGAGATGTATCTGGGTAATGTGTCATAAGGCAGGGCTGTATCTGGTTCATGCGCCATGTGTCATGAGACAGAGATGTATCTGGGTAATGTGTCATGAGGCAGGGCTGTATCTGGATCATGATGTCATGACAGATGATGTATCTGGGTAATGTGTCATAAGGCAGGGCTGTATCTGGTTCATGCGCCATGTGTCATGAGACAGAGATGTATCTGGGTAATGTGTCATAAGGCAGGGCTGTATCTGGATCATATGTCATGTGTCATGAGGCAGGGCTGTATCTGGTTCATGCGCCATGTGTCATGAGACAGAGATGTATCTGGGTAATGTGTCATAAGGCAGGGCTGTATCTGGATCATATGTCATGTGTCATGAGACAGAGATGTATCTGGGTAATGTGTCATGAGACAGGGCTGTATCTGGATGATATGTCATGTGTCATGAGACAGGGCTGTATCTGGATGATATGCGTGTCATGAGACATGTGGCAGGGCTCATGAGACAGAGATGTATCTGGGTAATGTGTCATAAGGCAGGGCTGTATCTGGATCATATGTCATGTGTCATGAGGCAGATGTATCTGGATCTGGTGTCATGTGTCATGAGACAGAGCTGTATGTATCTGGTGTCATGTGTCATAAGGGTGTCTGGGTAGGTCATAAGCTGTATGAGACAGAGATGTATCTGTCAATGTGTCATAAGACAGGGCTGTATCTGGTCATATGTCATGTGTCATGAGACATGAGATGTGTATCTGGGTAATGTGTCATGAGAGCAGGGCTGTATCTGGTTCATGCGTCATGTGTCATGAGACAGAGATGTATCTGGGTAATGTGTCATAAGGCAGGCATGAGCAGGGCTGTATCTGGTTCATGCGCCATGTGTCATGAGACAGAGCTGTATCTGGGTAATGTGTCATAAGGCAGGGCTGTATCTGGTTCATGCGCCATGTGTCATGAGACAGAGATGTATCTGGGTAATGTGTCATAAGGCAGGGCTGTATCTGGATGATATGTCATGTGTCATGAGGCAGGGCTGTATCTGGTTCATGCGCCATGTGTCATGAGACAGAGATGTATCTGGGTAATGTGTCATAAGGCAGGGCTGTATCTGGATGATATGTCATGTGTCATGAGGCAGGGCTGTATCTGGTTCATGCGCCATGTGTCATGAGACAGAGATGTATCTGGGTAATGTGTCATAAGGCAGGGCTGTATCTGGATGATATGTCATGTGTCATGAGGCAGGGCTGTATCTGGTTCATGCGCCATGTGTCATGAGACAGAGATGTATCTGGGTAATGTGTCATAAGGCAGGGCTGTATCTGGATGTATCTGGGTCATGTGTCATATGTCAGGGCTGTATCTGGCAGACAGAGATGTATCTGGGTAATGTATGTATCTGGATGTGTCATGAGATGTCATGTGTCATGTGTCAGACAGGGCTGTATCTGGATGGCCATGTGTCATGAGACATATAGATGTATCTAGGTATGTGTCATGAGACAGGGCTGTATCTGGTTCATGCGCCATGTGTCATGAGACAGAGATGTATCTGGGTAATGTGTCATAAGGCAGGGCTGTATCTGGATCATATGTCATGTGTCATGAGACAGAGATGTATCTGGGTAATGTGTCATGAGGCAGGGCTGTATCTGGATCATATGTCATGTGTCATGAGACAGAGATGTATCTGGGTAATGTGTCATAAGGCAGGGCTGTATCTGGATGATATGTCATGTGTCATGAGACAGAGATGTATCTGGTTCATGTGTCATGAGACAGAGATGTATCTGGGTAATGTGTCATAAGACAGGGCTGTATCTGGATGATATGTCATGTGTCATGAGGCAGGGCTGTATCTGGTTCATGCGCCATGTGTCATGAGACAGAGATGTATCTGGGTAATGTGTCATAAGGCAGGGCTGTATCTGGATCATATGTCATGTGTCATGAGGCAGGGCTGTATCTGGTTCATGCGCCATGTGTCATGAGACAGAGATGTATCTGGGTAATGTGTCATAAGGCAGGGCTGTATCTGGATGATATGTCATGTGTCATGAGACAGGGCTGTATCTGGTTCATGCGCCATGTGTCATGAGAGCAGGGATGTATCTGGTGCCATAAGGCGCTGTGTCATGAGACAGAGATGTATCTTGGTCAAGTGCTATGTGTCATGAGTCAGGGATGTATCTTTGCCATCCGCTGTGTGCTATGAGACAGGGGTGTATCTGGGACCATATGTCATGATCATGTGTAATGAGACGGGTGTGTCTGTGTCATGTGTTGTATTACAGGAATGCATATGGGGCCATGTGCCATGTGTCAAGGAACAGGGGTGTATCTGGGACCATGTTTTGTATGTAATGCGACAGAGGTGTATGGCTCCATACGTTGTATGTACATTTTACTGTTACTTCGTCCCTGTACAGGTAGTGCCAGAGAACGCATCGTTGTCCGTAAGGCTGAGATGATGTTCCGAAGGGCGGCGGCTTATCGAAATGGGTTTGAAAGTGACAGAAGGAAGGCGGCATTGGAGGTAGTATAGCATGTACTGGCAAACAAGGATAAGTTGAGCACCGACCTGACAATTGACCCGTATTAGCAATTTAGCATGTATGAGTGCCGCCCACTGGCGCTTGCCATTATTAGCGAAGGGGTGCCAGGTTGTCCGCGATCAAGTGTAGTGCAACTTGCTACAACGACGTGAGAGTCTTACGAGCAAGGCGTGTGCAGCTACGCGCGGAATCGATTTCATCGTCATGCAATGCCTACATCTGCTCTACCTTTCACAAACCAAATGGGTTTGCTCATTGCCGTGCACCGCCTACGTCTCGTAAACGCGTTCTCTGCGCCGGTCCAACTTATCCATGTTTGCAAGTAGATAGTTTCACACTATCAGTCCTCTTGTTTATGTTTTTAAACTTTTCTTGCATTTCCTTTGATACAAAATTAATATGTGTAAAAAAATATTATTCTTGAAGAAAATTAAAATTTTGTTTGATAAAATCCAAAATATAAATGACATGTGAAAATATGATGAATTGATGTAGTTCCGTCACGTCTAACCTGTGCAAGAGGCAACTAACGGGATCGGGAAGTCAGGCTCGCGGACTTGGTTGATACATGACATCGTCCCCCGGTTACATGGATCGATGCTCATGATGTTGATCACTGGATTGTTTGGTCTAAACTCGATTATTTATAGTTGAAATATTGTAACGTTAAACAACAAACAAACAAAACCTCTTGCCTGTAAACTTTACATGAAACAATATGGTCTTGGTGGTTAATAACGACTGACATGGTGAGATCATACACAGACGTATAAGTTCTTTCATAGTCCTAGGTTCACCTATGCAAGATTTAGATTAACATTATCCACGTCATCGTCACTCGGAGATGCAAAACAGTCTGTGTTTAGGGAAGGTCTTTTCTTAATATACATTAAGGTTGTTTGTGATGTTTCTAATACTAGGGGCGGTGGGGTAGCCTAATGGTTAAAGCGTCCGCTCGTGACTCCGAACAGCCGGGTTCGAATCCCGACATGGGTACAATGTGTGATGCCCATTTCTTGTGTCCCCGGCCCGCCGTAATATTGCTAAAAGCGGCGTAAAACTATACTCACTCAGTCACTTCTAATATTATGTCATGCTTGTATTTGCCAGACCGTAAGCATTGAATTGGAACAGGAGGAGGATATATTTGTGGGCAACGGCTTCGAGTTTGTTGTGACTGTCAGGAACTCCGGGAATGCTGCCCGCACTGTGAAACAGTTGGTTATCAAGGTGTACTACAAGACGTACTTCGACATCTACACAGGCATCGCCGGCGTTAGGAGGTTTGAAGCCTTCCCTGTAAACGGCGGAGATGGTGAGGGCTGACCCTGCTTTCAGAGAGAGAGAAGATTTGCGCGCACGCGCGCATGCGTGCGTGTGTGTGTGTGTGTGTGTGCGTGTTTATATTAGTGCCTGTGCCTCCGTGTGTGGGTGCTTGCGAGTCTGAGTCTACGTAAGTCATTAATTGTTACGTTTGTCTGCTGTTATTCTCTAATTGTTTCCTTTGTTTGATGTTTGTCTCTAATTGTTGCCTTTGTTTGATGTTTGTCTCTAATTGTTGCGTTTGTCTGATGTTTGTCTCTAATTGTTGCCTTTGTCTGCTGTGTTTGTCTCTAATTGTTGCGTTTGTCTGCTGTGTTTGTCGCTAATTCTTGCGTTTGTCTGCTGTGTTTGTCTCTAATTTTTGCATTTGTCTGTTGTGTTTGTCTCTTATTGTTGTGTTCGCTGTAAATGGCTAGGCGGAGGAATTTTAGGCATGCAATAACATCAAGGGATGAGTACCGATGACAGTTGTTTGTGACGTTAAGAAAAGTGAAGAAACATATCTGCCCTTACTTCCTCAAATGCTATACATGTACATCCTGCTCTCTTGCTGCTGTCTATTAGGTCAGGTGTCCTATTGCCCTATATTTCTAGCGGTGTCCTACCGGATCGCTGTTAACGAGGAGCGTGCGGCTAAACGTCCCCAAGATGGCTTCTACTTTGAGATCAAGGCTCTAGCAGAACTCAGCGATACTTCAGCATGTATTACAAGCAACATGGACTTCCGCCTGAGACGTCCTGACATTGTAATCGAGGTAAACTGAAAACACAACAGACGTGATATGAAGGCGTTATACCCGTCATAACCGCTTCCGGGGTCTAAGGGATACAGTGTTTGCCCTAGGCAGTGGAAGGTAGTTGGTTCGTTCCCCTGGCTGAACCATACCAAAGACCTTAAAAGATAGAATTTTGTTGCTAATCTCCTTGGCGGTCGGCATTACGGAAGTCTGCTCGGAGTCGGTAGATTCTGTCTGAGTGAGATACCTATATTAAAATGACGCTTTGTGTGTAGGACAGTTCGCAGAGGCTTAATATTGTACTGGAGTTTTGTATTTGAAAAGAGGGGCTGTTGGGTAGCCTAGTGGTTAAAGCATTCACGCCTAAGGCCCAGGTTCGATTCCCCACATGGGTACAATGTGTTAAGCCCATTTCTAGTGTCCCCCGCCGTGATTTTGCTGGAACATTGCTAAAAACGGCTTAAAATCATACTCGGTCATTCAGTATTTGAAAAGATCATTATTCCTTCTTCCATCAACTGCACTCTGTGGTATGGCAGGGTCCCGTGAGCTGTCGGCGGTCTGAGAAGATCGACGTCCAGGTGACCTTCACAAACCCGTTGAAGGTGACGCTCACCAACTGCCAGGTGGACATCGAAGGGGGATTCAAATTTATCAAACCTTCATCGGATAAGTTCCTAATTCCGTGAGTATTCTCTTGATAACTTCTTCATACTGTCAGTACGTGAGTATAATCCTCATACCGCGAGAATGACTTTGTTAAGTTTCTCATTCCGTGAGTATAACCTTGCTACGTTTCTGAGACCATGAATATAACCTTGATAAGTTCCTCATTCCGTGAATATAATCCGGCTTACTCAATCCAAGAATATTATATTGCAAAGCTCCACAAGCCGTTAAGATCATGATGCTGTGTTCATCATATCTCTCTAGCAACAATCCTCCTTCCGTGAATTCTTAGCCTCCCTGGCAACAGTCACGTTTCGGTGTGTACTTAACCACTTAAGGCAATCTTACATCAGTCCTCTTTCCGTGAGCACTTAAGATTCTCTAGCGTAAGTCCTGGATACTTAAGTCTTTCCAGCAGGTCATCCTTCCGTGGATCCTAGAATTTCCCTGGCAACAGTCCTCCTTCCGTGAGCACTTAAGATTCTCTAGCGTAAGTCCTGGATACTTAAGTTTTTCCAGCATGAGTCCTCCTTCTGTGAATCCTAGAATTTCTCTAGTAACAGTTCTCCTTCCGTGAGCACTTATGAGTTTCTAGTAACAGTCCACCTTCCGTGAGCACTGGCGTTTTTCTAGTACAAGTTACCCCCGTATGTACTGAAGTCTACAGAGCGCCTGGAATCAGATAAATGTTCTTATCGTCGTCTAGTCGTGTTGCAAGGAGCACTGATCCAGGGTTTAGTAGAGGATCAACAGACCTGGAATTTTACCTGACAAACACAGATTCGAATCGTGTAATATATTGTCAGGCTTGTGATGCATTTTCAATATTTTCCAGGAACATTGGACCTGGTCAGACGTGGCGAGAAACACTGACCGTAGTTCCCAAGCAACATCCAAAGGACAAGGACGAGAGGGATCTCACCATCGGGCTCCACTCCAAACAACTGGAGGACACCAGCGGACATTACACGGTCCACATCGACAAGGGATACTTTTAGTTGACTAAAGTCCACATCGACAAGGGATACTTTTAGTTGACTGCAGTTCACTTAGCCAGATACTAGATTTAGTTGACTAAAGTCTACGTCCACAAGGGATACTTTTAGTTGACTGCAGTTCACTTAGCCAGATACTAGGTTTAGTTGATTATAGTCTACATCCACAGGGGATACCTTTAGTTGACCGTAGTCTACATCCACAGGGGGTACTTTTAGTTGACTGTAGTTTACATAGCCAGGGACTAGGTTTAGTTGATAATAGTCTGCATCGACAAGGGATACTTTTAGTTGACTGTAGTCTACATCCACAAGGGGTACTTTTAGTTGACCATAGTCTACATCGACGAAGCATACTTTTAACTGACTGTAGTTTACATAGCCAGGGACTACGTTTAGTTGACCACACCACCGATTGTTTACACCGAGTATCACTACGTTTAATTGACTATAGTCTACATCGACGAGAACTACTTTTTGTTGACCACACCACAGATAGTCTACATCGAGTACCACTATGTATAGTTGACTATGGCCTACATCGACGAGGACTACTTTTAGTTGACCACACCACCGATAGCCTACATCGAATATCACTATGTTTAGTTGACTTTAGTCTACATCGACGAGGACTACATTTAGTTGACCACACCACCGGTAGTCTAAATCGAGTATCACTATGTTTAGTTGACTATAGTCTACATCGACGAGGACTACCTTTAGTTGACCATCCCAGGGCAAGTCTACAGCAGCAGGCAATATTTTAGATAACGCACCACCAATTGTTTAAATCGACGGGTCCAATTTCAACTGACCATCCCACGGCTGGTACGATCTTTAACCAACGTTTACTCTCCTACAGCCTTTTTAACAACACTGAAAAGAACTATTAGACTTACACAGACATCCTTTCACTGTAGCACCTCAGTGTTAAAACAGATGTTTTATTTAAGTATCAAATTGAAGTTTAACAGCCGGACTCAATGACCATCTTAGGTCAGCGATATTTATGACGACCTTTAACTGAGCTGAGCAAACTTTGACCTATGGTCGTCTTTCATCTACGTTTTATGCACCCAGTGGCTGTGAGATCAGAAATCGGACTTAATGAACCATGGTTATAAAGGAAATTTCCCCGCCCCCAACCTCTTCTCGTTACACCCACGTCCCCAACCTCTTCTAGTCACACCACCCACGTCCCCAACCGCAGCCTACGTGTGTATGTCACGAAGATCTTGCATTTTCAAACACATTGCTATTGCTTTTTTTTCCTTTGTGAATGTAACATAAATCATTTTTAACTGTGGCCGTGTTGTGTTGCGTTGTAGTTAGTGGCTCGAATGTTATCACGGCATGTTGCGTTGCAGTTAGTGGCGCGACTGTGGCCGTGTTGTGTTGCGTTGTAGTTAGTGGCTCGACTGTTATCACGTTGCGTTGTTGCGTTGTAGTTAGCGGCTCGACTGTTATCACGGTATGTTGCGTTGTAGTTAGTGGCTCGACTGTTATCACGGTATGTTGCGTTGTAGTTAGTGGCCCGACTGTTATCACGGTATGTTGCGTTGTAGTTAGTGGCTCGACTGTTATCACGTTGCGTTGTAGTTAGCGGCTCGACTGTTATCACGGTATGTTGCGTTGTAGTTAGTGGCTCGACTGTTATCACGGTATGTTGCGTTGTAGTTAGTGGCTCGACTGTTATCACTGTATGTTGCGTTGTAGTTAGTGGCCCGAATGTTATCACGGTATGCGTTGCGTTTATCACAGTAGTTAGTTGTAGTTAGTGGCGACTGTTATCACGTTGCGTTGTAGTTAGCGGCCCGACTGTTATCACGGTATGTTGCGTTGTAGTTAGTTGCGTTGTAGTTAGCGGCTCGACTGTTATCACGGTGTTATCACGGAATGTTGCGTTGTAGTTAGCGGCCCGAATGTTATCACGCTATGTTGCGTTGTAGTTAGTGGCTCGACTGTTTTCACGGTAGGATGCGTTGTAGTTAGCGGCTCGACTGTTATCACGGAATGTTGCGTTGTAGTTAGCGGCCCGAATCTTATCACGGTATGCTGCGTTGCAGTTAGTGACCCGAATGTTATCACGGTATGTTGCGTTGTAGTTAGCGGCTCGAATGTTATCACGCTATGTTGCGTTGTAGTTAGTTGCCCGACTGTTATCACGGTAGGTAGCGGCGTTGTAGTTAGTAGGCTCTACTGTTATCACGGAATGTTGCGTGTAGTTAGTTAGTGAGATGTTATCACGGAATGTTGCGTTGTAGTTAGTGACCCGAATGTTATCACGGTATGCTGCGTTGTAGTTAGTAGCTCGACTGTTATCACGTTGCGTGTTGCGTGTAGTTAGCGGCTCGAATGTTATCACGGTATGTTGCGTTGTAGTTAGTGGCGTCGAATGTTATCACGGTATGTTGCGTTGTAGTTAGTGGCCCGTTATCACGTTAGCGTTGCGCCGTTATGTTATCACGGTATGTTGCGTTGTAGTTAGTGGCCCGAATGTTATCACGGAATGTTGCGTTGTAGTTAGTAGCCACGAATGTTATCACGGAATGTTGCGTTGTAGTTAGTAGCCCGAATGTTATCACGGTATGCTGCGTTGTATGTAGTTAGTAGCCCGAATGTTATCACGGAATGTTGCGTTGTAGTTAGTGGCTCGACTGTTATCACGGAATGTTGCGTTGTAGTTAGTTAGCCCGAATGTTATCACGGTATGCTGCGTTGCAGTTAGTAGCTCGGCTGTTATCACGGTATGTTGCGTTGTTGAGTTAGTGGCCCGAATGTTATCACGGTATGTTGCGTTGTAGTTAGTGGCTCGACTGTTATCACGGAATGTTGCGTTGTAGTTAGTAGCCCGAATGTATCACGGAATGTTGCGTTGTAGTTAGTGGCCAGATGTTATCACGGAATGTTGCGTTGTAGTTAGTAGCTCGAATTATGTTGCGTTGTCACGGTATGTTGCGTTGTAGTTAGTAGCCCGAATGTTATCACGGAATGTTGCGTTGTAGTTAGTTGCTCGAATGTTATCACGGAATGTTGCGTTGTAGTTAGTAGCCCGAATGTTATCACGGAATGTTGCGTTGTAGTTAGTAGCCTGAATGTTATCAAGGAATGTTGCGTTGTAGTTAGTAGCCCGAATGTTATCACGGTATGTTGTGTTGTAGTTAGTAGCCCGAATGTTATCACTGTATGCTGCGTTGCAGTTAGTAGCTCGGCTGTTATCATGTTGCGTTGTAGTTAGCGGCCCGAATGTTATCACGCGATGTTGCATTTTAGTTAGCGGATCGAATGTTATCACACTATGTTGCGTTGTAGTTAGTGGCCCGAATGTTATCACGGTATGTTGCGTTGTAGTTAGTGGCTCGACTGTTATCACGGAATGTTGCGTTGTAGTTAGTAGCCCGAATGTTATCACGGTATGTTGCGTTGTAGTTAGTGGCCCGAATGTTATCACGGAATGTTGCGTTGTAGTTAGTGGCTCGAATGTTATCACGGAATGTTGCGTTGTAGTTAGTAGCCCGAATGTTATCAAGGAATGTTGCGTTGTAGTTAGTAGCCCGAATGTTATCACGGTATGTTGTGTTGTAGTTAGTAGCCCGAATGTTATCACGGAATGTTGCGTTGTAGTTAGTAGCCCGAATGTTATCACGGTATGTTGCGTTGTAGTTAGTGGCCCGAATGTTATCACGGTATGCTGCGTTGCAGTTAGTAGCTCGGCTGTTATCATGTTGCGTTGTAGTTAGTGGCCCGAATGTCATCACGGTATGCTGCGTTGCAGCTAGTAGCTCGGCTGTTATCACGTTGCGTTGTAGTTAGTGGCCCTAATGTTATCACGGTATGTTGCGTTGTAGTTTGTGGCTCGACTGTTATCACGGAATGTTGCGTTGTAGTTAGTAGCCCGAATGTTATCACGGAATGTTGCGTTGTAGTTAGTAGCCCGAATGTTATCACGGTATGCTGCGTTGCAGTTAGTAGCTCGGCTGTTATCACGTTGCATTGTAGTTAGTTGTACGACGGTGGCCGTGTTGCATTGTTAGTTGTATGACTGTATCCAAAGTAGGTTGCTTGTAGTCAGTTTCAAGCCTGTGATCACGACTGTAGTGATTGAGTGAGTGAGTGAGTATGGTTTTAAACCGTTTTTAGCCGTATTCCAGCAATATGGCGGCGGGGGACATCAGTACTGGGTTTAACACACTGTGCCCATGTTGGGAATCGAACCCGGGTCTTCGGTGTGACAAGCGAAAGCTTTAACCACTAGGCTACCCCATCGCCCCCACATTGTATAATAATTGCTTTGAAGTCAGTTTCACACCTATAGCCACATTGGTTGGATTGAAGCCAGTTCTACTCCTGTAACCACATTGGTTGGATTGAAGTCATAACCATTCCTGTAACCACATTGGTTGGATTGAAGCCAGTTCCACTCCTGTAACCACATTGGTTGGATTGAAGCCAGTTCTACTCCTGTAACCACATTGGTTGGATTGAAGTCATAACCATTCCTGTAACCACATTGGTTGGATTGAAGCCAGTTCCACTCCTGTAACCACATTGGTTGGATTGAAGCCAGTTCTACTCCTGTAACCACATTGGTTGGATTGAAGTCATAACCATTCCTGTAACCACATTGGTTGGATTGAAGTCATAACCACTCCTGTAACCAGTTTGTATTGCGTTTAATAAACCTGGTAAAACTGTACCTCATGTAATCAATAATGACATAAATGGTTACATGACTAGCGTTATACTGACTTTAAAGTGAGCTGTAATACTATCACACTCTCGTACCACGATGAAGCAAGGTGCAAGAATGTGGACAAGCGGAAAACACGTTACCCCGACATTAGTCGCTATACAACATAGATCTACCACCAGTCAATACAACCATTACACCTCACGTCCTGACAGACACTGTTTACAGCCCTCATCAAAGACGATCTATGACAACTGACCCTGCAGGTATCAATAGATAGTGTGTACGTTTACTGTAGGTGTCGCTTGATACGGTAGACGACACACACTCGGCGTCCCTGACCATGCCACGGAGTTGCTACGAAGGCTCACGCCTAAACAACCGCAGACAATACAAAAGAGACTTCCCTTTCAACTCAAAACGAATATACGCCATTCACACTAGACGTCCCCAGCTTTCGATCAATGGCACACGGATACATATTGTCAACTCAACCAATCACAACGTCTGTTACACCTGTACATGGTGACAGTGTTGTTGTATACGTGTGTTTATCCGCCAAGCTGATGCTAGTGCCTGTTGACAGTTGAGAGTCGTGCGTAGCGATCTTACCTGTAGACCGGACCAGATCTGAACTGCATCAAGCACACAGGTGAGTCCAAATCTTCGTGCATGTGTGTAACACGCATGCCGGTTTTTGATGCCACACTCTAAATCGTTGTCCGCCCATTTTTAAAAGTGCATACACGTATGGCTTGGCTGTGAAGGAAATGCATACCATTCATTCATACCATTTCCTAGAGAAAATATGCTTAGTTTTCATTAAACCATTGTTTTATTCCTCACGATAACACCTTCAGTTTTATTAACTTGCAAGGCTATTTCTAATCACAGCGAAAGATCTGCCTCAATTATAGTCACATGGATCTCGTGAGCCACAGGTGTTGAGCTACAGGTGTTACCTCACCTGTGTCGTTTACCTGTATCACGCATTTTCGAGCAAAGCAGTTCAATAATATAACCTGTACGTCCGCATATCAAATTCATACACAAAATATGGAGATATTGTACATTGAATAAACAAAGATATCGGTGTCACAGATATCTAATTTCGACTTACAACCATCCAGGAAACTGAAACAGTCAAGACCTTCTATCAGACCTGTTTCAGTCGCCATTAACGTAATCACATGTGAAGACGTGTGAACGATCACTAACATCTCCAATAACTGTTGATTGCATGGAATGAGCATTGTAAAGAATGGGTTCTCACGTTTACCACACCCCTACAATGAACCAGTTCCAAACAATTCCCATTCAGATGACCCCTCATTCTCAATTAAAACCTTTTCTCTCCAAGTACAACGCGCTAAAAGATGTTGCAACCTAATCCAGTTGTACCGAAAATCGTATTAATTATATAACTGATAAAGATTGTTGCCACTGTATATAAGATAAGATAAGATAAACTTTATTGTCCCGCAAGGGAAATTTGTCTTGCATTCAAAGAGCCAATACAAGCATATAACTACAAATAATTTAACGTATATATATGTATACACAATGCCAATATTTAGACTTGCACAAGATTCTAAGGCAATAATTATTAGGTTAAATATTTTTTCGAGATTATATAAACAAGAACGAGTTGTCCACACAAACTGGCGTCCTTAGATTTGCATAATTCTCTAAGGCAATGGATATTAGATTAAATATATACTTTCTAGATTAAATCAAACAAAGTTGTCCATATAGGAGACTGGCTTCTTTAAACTGTCCACTTAAATATACTTGCCTAGTGAAAGGATAGAATTGCTGTACGCCGATTTATTATTTAGTACAGCCTTGAGGCAAGGCTATGATGTATTCTAAAGGCTTCTTGCTTTGTGGACAGAGGCACAACGCATTCTTCCTTCACTGATCGTTAAATACATTCCGTATACACTATCTATAATACACGCTTCAGTGTTCCGTAACAGGGGCATGGTGCCACGAGGTGGGTTTTGTACTCAACGTGAAATCAAACGACGCGAATTGTCAGAAGGAATGTTTTAAACAAAGTTTCATGGTTTACTGGTTTCCTGTGAGGTCATGTGGGGAGGTTAAAATTTCCCTCATTTGAATGTGGCGTCGGCAAGGTTGATACAGGATACAGACGCTGTCCGTCCGTGCGTGGTCCGCCTGTAGTAGACGCTGTACGGTGTCTGTTACGTGGTATGCGGATCACGTATTACAGGGAGCTTGTGTTTGTTTGGATTTTTATGTCAGTCACATCCCGGTGGTGTAGTTCTCATTGCTTTGATCCCTTTTATTTCTGATCCTTTTAATTCTCTTTCGTGTAACAGTATTTTAATGTCCAATGAGTTTTAATGTCAAATCCTCTTCCGTGTGAGTGGGTGAGTGAGTAAGTTCTCTTTCGTGCAACAATTTGATCTCCTGAGTGCGTATCAACTATTTTGATGTCTAACGAGTGAGTGGTGAGTTCTCTTCCGTGGTATTTTGATGCTAACGAGTTAGTTCTGTTCCGTGTAACACTATTTTATTTTGATGTCTAACGAGTGGGAGTGGGTGAGTGAGTGGTGTAAAGTTCTCTTTTTTGATGTGTAACACTATTTTGATGTCTAACGAGTTGGGTGGGTGAGTGAGTTCCGTGTAACACTATTTTGATGTCTAACAAAGTTCTCTTCCTTCCGTGTAACACTATTTTGATGTTCTATGAGCAGAGTGATGAGCGAGTTCTATGGTACAACATTCTCTTCCTTCCGCGTAACACTATTTGATGTCAAACGAGTGAGTGAGTGAGCTGGTGAAAGAGTTGTGAGTCGCTTCTGTCAATGGTCAAACGCGTGGACATCACATATTGAGATATAAATAAGTGAACTGGTTACAGGTTATATGTATATCAACTGGGTCTCATTTCAGATTCAAAGCATTTTTAGCTAACCATATTGGGATATATTCAGTGCTACTAATTGATTTATCCCATATCAATGCATCAATCTGAAACTCTTTACGTTTAAGAAATAGGTTGTGCAGGATGCACGGCTATGTGTTGTAGTGTTGTAGTCTATGTGTTGTAGTGACTTGTCCATTGTGAGTATTGCCTTATCTTGAAACTCATGTCAAAGGCAATCCAATACCCACCTTTGTTTGTTGTACTTATTCCACCTGCCGAGCCACCGTGCGACTGAAATTGATAACATGGATAGATATTCATTACGTTAGGTGGGGTCCACCTATGGATCAGTGGACGAGACTGAGCAGTCAGTGTCGACTCAAGGGGGCATTTCTCAGGTTTCTTGTGTAATGTTTAATTGATTGAATGCCATATAGTCATTAAATCAATCACTATTGTACACATCCGACAAAACATATAGATGAATCACCATTAATAAAGTAATGATTATACGAAGTATTCCTGAAATTGAGTGAGTGAGTATATTTTTATGCCGCTTTTAGCAATATTCCAGCAATATCTCGGCGGGGGACACCAGAAATTGGTTTCACATAATTTACACATGTGGGAATCGAACCCGGGTCTTCGGCGTGACGTGCAAACGCTTTAACAACAAGGCTATCATACCGCCCCCCGAAATTTAGACTGGGTGCCAGCTCGCCTGTGACTACCGACACATGCAACTGCAAGGCAAGTGTTCAACCAAACAAGCATATGTAATTTTTTTATTGCATCGGACATCAATTTGGTTCATGAAGCGTTAGATTTCGGCGTCCAGAAAAAGTGTCACTGTTCATGATGCCAATGTGTTTGCCATTTCTTTATCTTCAACAACGAGAGTTCAGTTAATACCGACTTTCTCCATGTCAAATACAATGACGATCTGCATGGGGATGGGATACTATAACCACAGGCAGGGTAACAAGTAGTACCAGCTTTAATAGTTTGTAGTATGACGCGGCCGTTGATATAGCCCTTGGGTGAACGTTTCATACACTAAACCACGAAGAGTTCAACAAAGGTAACACTGAAGTGTTTGCTTAAGAATTTAATTTTGTGTTTATGCAACTATTCCGTGGAGAGAGCTATTCCTTTCCTGATGTATGTGTGGATGTATGCATGTGTGCATGCATGCATGCATGTGTGTGTGTGTGCGTGCGTGCGTGCGTGTGTATATGTGTGTATGTGTGTATAAATATGCATGTATATGTATGTATGGATGGATGTATGGATGGATGGATGATGCATGCATGCATGCATGTATGCATGTCTATCTGTCTGTCTGTACATGAGTGCTTAAATATAAATGCTGGAGAATTCAACATGTACAAAGCAGGCCAATAAATGTTGAACTCAAATTTACGCGTCTTTATGACTAATCGACCGCCTCCGTGGTGTAGTGGTAAGAGCGTCCGCCCGGAGAGCGGAAGGTCGCGGGTTCGATCCCCGACCGCGTCATACCAAAAGACGTTAAAATATGGTACTTGTTTGTCCCTGCCTGGCGCTCGGCATTAATGGGTACAACAAGGACTGGTCGGCTCGGAGTCAGTATACTGTGTTTGAGTGGGGTATTCATGCTTCACTGCGGCATGGTATCTCAGTGAGCTAGCACTATAAAACCAGCTTAAGTCTGGGCTAGTACAAGCAGCCGCACATACACATACACACGCATGCACGTCGTCATATGAGCGAAATATTCTCAAGTACGACGTTAAAGCCAATTTCACCTCACCTTTATGACTAATCAGAAGAGAATCCATTCGTGTATGCATGTATCCACTGCAGCAGATCGACAAGGCCAGCATATTGAAATACCACTGCACTGTGTCAGTGCAAATACATAATGATTACATTTTCCGAGACGCATGGACGACACTGAATGTAGGGTCTAATGAATAGGAAACTCCACAGGTGACGCATTGAGCGTTTGAGTTCCTTCTTTACCCTACGACCTACTCCTTTCAATACGGGCTAAAGTGCGGGCTAAGTATACAGAAAGTGTACCGTCACGGGGTCACGCCTGAGTAGGGGACGACCTCGGGGTCAAACAGCGTGTCTGTTGCCAATAGCAACAACTGTACGAAACAGTACACGGTAAACAGTAGATTGGGTGTTCTGTAAGACTGTGTAATATTGATCTATTCGCGTGATCATTATTCAGGCACTAATATGGCGTAACGCGTTCAGGTAACCTACTATAACCTTTGATGCCCATTTTATGAATTAGCAATCTATTTCATGCCCTGTATGAAGAGAAATGTTGAAATATCAAACATACAACTGGCCACATGTGTGACTGCGTACAGTATCCTACTCTTGCAGCTGTTTCCACCAACAGAGGTCTCGCGTGAGCGATGTATTGGTTAGATACTACAATTGGTGCACATGTTTGTAGGTAACTTCACAATACCATTAGCACGCCATCTGATGTTGCTGTGTATGTTAATCAACTGGTGCATAGATGGCCCATGGACATTCTAACGCCTACCTATATGCAGAATATATATATATACTCTGTGTTCATTTTTATCGAGCTCCAACAGAAACTCTTTTCTGTTTTATGTCCTTAACCTGTACTGTTGTATAAACATCTATATTTCACGTCTGTGAAGAGAGATCAGCCGTTCGATACCAATACATCTGATTGACCTTCCCTCGTGAGATTCCAGACCTACTTGTTTCATAAAAATGTTATT